TCTTTTTTCCCTTTCCCTTCTTTTCCTTCTCTCTCTCTTTTTTTTTTTTTTTTTTTTTTTTTTTTAGCGGGGGGGGGGGGGGGGGGCAAGGCCCGCTCGCCCCCCCGGATCCGCGCCTGGTCTTCATCCCGCCCCCTCTCTCTTGGTAGTATTAGTTACATAATATTATACAAATAATACACAGCAGTGAGGGCATTAGTAAGAAGTATACCCACACAAGGTACCTTTGGAACAGTCTAGCTGAGGGTGTTTGGACTGTTTTGAAGGTACCGAGTGTGTGTAGTTATACTAATGCCCGAACAAAATGATGTGTATTATTTGTTTGATAAGATTATGTTTTATATGTTTTATAACATGATTTTACTAATGACCGGTCATTATCAAATTTACGCGTAAGGCAAAATAAATGCCCGGTCACGTGTACACTCGCAAGCAATCATTTGATTAGAATCCACGTCATCTTCTTATAATTTAAAATATCTCTGCACAAAAAACATTACTCCTACCAGCACAAGCAAATTCTTGCTTCATAGACATAGATGCAACGACAGGCAGCATGTGAAATACTTTATGGATGCACCTTAAAATGTAATGGGATATGAGAGATAAAGAGAGAGAGAGAGAGAGAGAGAGAGAGAGAGTGAGAGAGGGGGGAGGGGGCATGTGCGGTAGGAATTCTTGTAAATCACTCAGGGGCGGATCTAGCTTTTGCTAAAAATGGGAGGGGTTGACCCAATGACGATGCCGCATAGCGGCGAGGCGATTTCCCCCCCTTCTATTTCACTTTTGGGAGGGGGGGGGGGGTGCTATTTCACTTGGCAGCCCAAGGTTAAAACCCCCTAACCCCCCCCCCCCCCAAAAAAAAAACAACAACAACAACAACAACAACAACAACAAAATCCGCCCCTGTCACTTCTTCTTCCGAAATAACAAACTTCAGACTTGAAATTATTATTTACGACCAATTTTTGTCTGAGAGTATGTGATTATCATAACAGAATTACTAACAATACCAACACATTAGAAGAAGTACCACATAATTGAAAAGAGTTCTCAAAATCATATATTATGTTTCCCGTTTATTTCTTGAAGAGATGAGATGAATCTAAAAGTACAATTATTTCACAATAATGCAACATAATTGTATAATAAAATGCGACATATACATTTCAAATAATTATATGTTTTCATATCAGATGGCATCTGGAAGGGGATAAAGTTATCTCATTCCATATAAATGATTGTCATTTCCAGATAATCTGGAAAACCGAGTACCCACACACACACAAAAAATAATGAGCATAAGAAAGGCACAGGATAGAATTGCAAAAGTGATTGCAATTGCAAAAAGTGAAAACATGTAAACCGTCGCTTAACCCTTTCAGGACAGGGTTTATTTTAAATTGATCACGTGATGTTCTTAAAATTGGCAACAATACTATTTTTCTTTAATCACTACAAAAATAGAATAAACTACTAAGATAACAATAACCATGGACGAGATCGTTAAAAAGTTGTTTTAAATGGCCATTTTTTTTAGTTTTTTCTTAAGCAATATTTTAAATCTCTCAGTGTGTTGCCAATTTAAGGTTTTTAAAACGTATTTTCTTATAAAATTCCTTGCATGAAATGCTATATAATCATGAAACAAAAATGGATGAAGTATACGCAGAAATCTTTGCTCTTTCTACTTGTGTATCTGGAATATTTTATAGGGCTCTGTATCAAACAACAAAATATAGAATAATTGTCATGAAAGGCTTAATACAATCATTGCAACAGTACAGACTTCATGCAGAACAACACCCCTTCCCTTCACATGAAATACACATTGTACTTTCACTGATTAATCTAGAGTGGTATTCTCAAAACTTGTTTTCTTTAATTAGTGTCATGTCAAATCTAAATTAGAATAAGCAAATAGTTAAATGTCTGTAGATAGTTGGCCGTGTGTGAGCGTATAGATTGGACATGTAATCTAGCTTGCAATTTCAGTTCATTACAACAATTAACACACACGAACTAGCATTAGTATGAGCAACCAAAATTCCAAATGTATAAAGAATGAAACCTAATGAATTAGTACATTGTTTCATTTTATTCTTCAAATATTCCTGCAGGTATTACCATTTTCATAAAGGCCGTGAATTATCTCCTGAATCATATTCCGTTACTACTCCAACACAATAATGTCGATCATTATAGTATTTTCAAAATAACAGAGATATAAAAATGGCAAAAAAACAAAAACAAGATAAAGATGAGGAATGCAAAATTGCAGGGGGCCTAATAAAAATGCAGCATATCAATAGTATCCACAAGTAAACTGTTCTACCAACAAATCAACCGGTACACTAAGATGGGATATGTGATATGGCTATGTGGTAAAAAAAGGGGGTTTTCCCCTTCAAATTAAAAAATTCATTACTGGAGCATGCCTCGCATCTAAACTATTACTAGTAACACATTTCGTCATTACAAGCATTTAAAATACTGCATGCATATATGTACATGCAAATATACAATTTTAAAATTATATGTATAGTGAAGCCTGTACATTAAGGGAGACTAAAAAGTGATCCTTATAGGTAGATGGCCTTTTTGTACAGGTTCCTGTAGTACATGCTTCAATGAGAATAAGGATTCAATTAAACACAAGATCTGGGCCCCGTCTTATAAAGACTTGCGATTGATCCAAATCAATCGCAAGTCCTGTAATCAATCGCAAGTTTGCTGTCCCCCGTCTCTAATGTACATATTTGCGATTGACATCAATCGTAAATAAGTTGCGATTGAACTCGACTCTTTATAAGACGGGGCCCAGGTCTATATAGACAGTGGTATTTCTATACATTCCTATAGAACAATACTTCAGGTGGTCACTAAAGCAAGTTTCACTGTATTTCACTTTGCATGGGAATATTTTTGACAAAGATGCAGTAACAAAGGGGCCAAGTTGCTATTCCCTGTCAAAGTTTTTTTTAATGATCACAAACATTTTCTTTGCTTTGCACCCAGCATAATCACATCCTCCTCATAAAATATATGTTTGATATTGAGATACAGCTGTAATTTCCCATAACCAATCTGGTCTCAGATCAGACCAACAGAAATAAGAGGAGGCAGGGCAAGAATGCTTGCCCTTTTTACTGGGAATATACATCAGTTATTCCGTTTTCTGCAAGACCTATATTCTTTATTCCAACACTATAATTCACATACTACTTTTTATTGCAAATATATTTACCTGTTATTAATTTGAGTCATGATGGAAAACATACATGCAATATTAGTCTACTCATACTTAAATTTACATTTCAGTTTTAAAAATGATGTCTTCATCAATGGCAACAATTTCCACAATGCAAATCAATGGATTTTTTAATATTCAATTCCTGTTATCTAGTACAAATTAATTTCATTTAATCCAATCAAAAGATATTTCTCCTATTTTCTCTATATCAAATATTTCATATTATCAGAGCCCACTTCAAAATGCGCAATTCAGGAACATTTCATAAAGATAAATTGATGATAAAAAATTGATTAGATATATATATGTCTAGAGAGAGAGAGAGAGAGAGAGAGATTAAAGACTACCGGTTAACACATTGCTTCTGCATACCATTTGGTCTTGAAGTGTACCAATCACCTTACACAAAAATTAAAAAACAATTGGTCAACATTTACATGCAGCCAGAAAGGGTAAAGTCAACCTCAATAAAACTTCACTCAGCTTTGTATGGGCTAACGGATAAGGAGTATGAAGAAAATGATGAAAAACATAAACCACACACATGGAACCCAAGTCAGATATGGGTTCCGTGTGGGCGCCATAATTATTATGCGAGTGCGTACGGGTACATCAAGTGATCTACTCACAAATTCCATTTAATAATGTTAATAGAGAGTGTACTTAAACCTGCAGAATCTCTTTACAGAAGTCATCTTGAAAGTCATATTTTGAAAACAGCATTACAACTTGGAACTGCTATTTCATACAGAGCAGAATACAATTTGGTGATCGATACACTTTAAGCCAACATCGTTCATTCTATACAGTCCAACATTTGGATCAAAGTGGGTAGGCCTAATATAGGTAATGCTACCCTAAACCTAACCCTAAACCCTACCCTAATCCTGACCCCTAAACCTGACAAAATGTACCGTAGGGTCAATGGCATTTCATGGATGTTTGCATTAAATATGTACTGGTAATACAAATAGGCATTCTGGATTAGCATTTGACTGTTTCAAGCTCATATACAGTATAGTGAACATCTATTCTAATATAGTCCGTTTGGAGCCAGATGGGTGCTGACTCTGCATGACAGTCCTTCTGGCCCCAAACAGATGAAAACTGGCTGTACACAGGTGATCACCGTGATAAGGACAAATAGCATGGTAGAAATAATTTATGTGGAATCTATTCATGATGACTTTCAATGAATTCATAATCTCGATAACAAATATATAATATGTACATCTTCTTTTTCTCCTTCTCCTTCTTCTTTTTTTCTTATTTGTTTTTATTACCAGGCAAATTAGATTTAGCTAAAACAACTGGATATAAGTATCTATTCAAGATATATATTACTTTTTCTCTGGTATTTAAATTCATATAAATATTTGGTGTTTGCTTTGAGCTAACACAGAAATTGCAGAATATACTTTTACACATAAAAGAAAAACAAAAGAGAAAGAAATAACGATAACAATATATTTTTAAAGCACAGTATCCCAAAACCAGCAGGTACACAATTGCAATCTTAGAGCTAACCTTGAGATCATATCATGGAATTGTATTTGGAGAAAAACTAGCTACAGGTCATGCTAAATTGATTAACATGCAAAAAATGAGTTGTATTATATGGATTAGTAAAATATCAGAATTTTAAGAAGAGAAAAAATTACTGAAAATGACATTCACTGAAAAGCACAAGAACCGATGCCAGTGACGTACACTGATATTTCTTTCATAATCTTCTAATCAAAAATGAGTTGTATTATATGGATTAGTAAAATATCAGAATTTTAAGAAGAGAAAAAATTACTGAAAATGACATTCACTGAAAAGCACAAGAACCGATGCCAGTGACGTACACTGATATTTCTTTCATAATCTTTAAGACATAATATACTTGAACATGTACCTCAAGGGAACACCTTATCTGCTCGTTGCCATTCTATGAAGTCGATGCTTGATTCTATAAACAACACTATCGACTCTATAAACAAGGTTTCTTTGTTAAAAATTTGTATACAACTTCTCCTCTCATAAAGATTAGGGCTGTATGACTGGCCAATTCATTATTTCTTCTCTGCAGCAAAAGGAACATCGCACTTCTCCCACTCCACAAGGACAAATGAATATGTCTATTTTGGTCTAATCATCTGTAGAGGGACCCCAGTGTAGCTTGCAAAGTTCAAAGGTCAAAGCAGCAACATCTGATTTTGCAGAACGATTCTGATATAATCATATTATTAACATTCCATTCCTGTATTAAAGGCATGTATTACATCATGGAATAATATCTGTATGCCCTTACAAAGCAGTATGTGGTATATAAACTTTGGGGTATATATATATACCGCATATCAAAATTCTAGGCCTTTGCTTAACTTGCCTTTGATTGGTCAAAACTGCAGGCAAGAAATTCGCTATTAACTGCGGGGCAGTATAGCAAAAAAATATTGACTGGGCATAGTTCTACTTGCACGTACAATACAATGACGCAATGATTGCGAGTGAAGTTAACACTGAATATGGGCAGTGAGACGCGCAATGATCTTAGAAGGATAACTTTCCCTTGACTCTACAAATACATTCATTTTGTCAGGCATGTTTTGTTAAAATATCTCTTTTTCAGAATAGACACTGGGATGCATTATTATCAAACAAAATATTGACTGCTTATTTTTCGGTTCATGGTTAAAATTATAGCTCCTCTTTGATCTCAAGACTGTACTATGCCCCTCAACATCATCTCAGGTCTCAGTACAGTTTTGAGATCACCTTGGGAAATAATTCTAACCATGCCCCTGAAAGCAGTCAATATTTGTATATTATTACCCCGGCTCTAGCTACGATAACCGTAGCTCTCAGTGCATTTATGGAATACATCCTACCAGGTACACAATGAGTTTACCTCGGAAAAGTGTCGCAATCGTAGACGTCAATTAAAATCTGTCTGCGGGAGGGAATCAAACCCTATACCTTGTGATCTAAAGTCCGATGACTTATTAACTCGACATCAACAACATTTTCCTGGGCTTAGCAAGAGTGTCCAATTTAAGGATCAACCCCTAGCTTACTGCTCCTCGGAAGCGATAGGAAAATCCACCTTCTTCCACTTGGCAAAGACTCGCTTGCTGTCTGGGTCATCATTGTACATGAACAAGAAGCTCTTTGGGCTCAGGTTATATCCAGGTTTCCATAAATGCAGACGCATGAACTCCAAGGCTTGTCCAAGCTGGTTACCACATTTGCATTTTATAATGCCTGTATCGGTAAAGAATGGTAGAAATGGGAGGATAATAGTTATATATAGTTTATATAGTTCACCTGTATCAAAGATATGCAATGGGGCACTTGCTTTCTTCACGTCTCTGCTTTGTAACTCCTTTGCCACACATGCAATGTCAGACAAAACAATAGGCACCAATTGACAGAATGATTGCTTTGTGCAACACGATGGCTTTGCAAAATTACTCATTTATAGTCTTGATTGGCTACCTGACAACCCTTTTGAAGCTAGTATAAATTAATTTTGAACTGGAAACAGTCGAATATATTTAAGCCTCTGATATATCTATCTCATAATAAATACAATGTGGCCCAAGTTGACCTCATGACCTTTGACCTAGTTACTCCAAAATCTACTAGGATTGCTTTCCCATGGTGATACATACTTTCATCAAGTTTGCAGTTAATATTTAAAGTGGTTCTTGAAATATTGCGATAAAGAGAAAACAGGACATATGGACAGCCCCAAAACATAATGCCTCTGGCACCACCTTTAGTGGGCGAAGGCATAACAATTAATAACCACGTTATAAAAAGTCACTTTTTTAACTTTACCGTAATCAGATCATATTTACCCTTACAATTTTTTTCTTCATTTATAAGAATAATACATGTATTTCAAATACATTCCTTAAATAGAACCTGATGTATACAAAGCAAAGTATTTTTGTTGGTGATTGGTCACCTCAAAGAATATCACCTAGTTTAGACTTACCGACAGTTCTAGACTCTCTAAAAGTTATACAACCGGTGCGAACATTGCGTGTCCTTTCAGCGATAGTGGGGTCATTACAGGTGTAGTTGGATAGTCTCCTCTCCAGGTCAGATGATTTGCAGATGAATTTCTCACATTTATTGCACAGAAGCTTGACATCTACTTGCTGGCTCTCCTTTTGCTGGATTCTCTTCATTTCTTCTTTCTCCTCTATTTCCCTAATGATGGTCAGCTATTAAAGAGGGAAGTGAAAGAACCGTCTTTTATTAAGGTCTTGATAATTTTTTATAAGTTTGACATTTATTTGTTTTCACATTTACATGAAAAGTGATTAAGACTTATACAAGTTGAAGAGTTGGTTACAAAACAACACTGGTAGATAACTGAAATCAAGGACAGCACACTGTAAAATCTGTAAATACAGTAAAGTTCTGAGGGAAGAATGATACAACAGGCAACAGGAAAGGACAATACATAGTGTGAGGAGCCTAAATTAAAAAAGGACAGTTTATATAATTATGATTAGGCTCCATACACCTTTCAGTTTTATGACAATGCAGTAAATGTGTATAGATGGTTCTGCAGTAAATATGCCAATTGCTGAGCTCCACCACCCCCCCCCCCCCTCCCTCCCCCTCTCTCTCTCTCTCTCTTTCTGTCTGTCTCTCGCTTTATAACTCTCTCTCTCTCTCTCTCTCTCTCTCTAACAACAGCATTGTTCGTACCCTTACCTTGTGTAAATGTTAAGAATGTGAAATATTGATTTGTCCCGATTTATGTTTCATGAGGATGTGACAGTGACACATTAGAGATTACATCTAAAAGTATGTCAACAAAGGCCCTAATTCAACCAGTCCACCCTTCAATTGTGAGAAACGAAACATACAAAAAAACATCAAATTCACAAGGAGTCAGTGGCGTATGCAGGATTTTTTCAATGGGGGGGGGGGGGGGGGGGGGGGGGGGTTTAACATTTTGAAATCGGGCCAAAATTTTGCAACGACTCAGTCAGCCGCTGAATAAGCGGGGGGGGGGGGGGGGGGGGGGGGGGGGGGGGGGGGTAAGAGGACTTTTTTTTTGGTCTCGACATTTGAAAAATTGACATTCCCCCCCCCTGCGTACGCACCTGTAAGGGGTACGAATGATTTAGATGGTAACTGTATGTATTTCCATCTCTATCTCTGTCTCCCTCTCTGTCGTTCTTAAATGGGAGGGGGGGGGGGAACAATCACCAATCAAAATAATTGGTGGACATGTTGTAAATATAAAATCATCCTCTCAAACTACTCAAACTCGGGTTCCTTGCATATCCTTTTCTAAGCAAGTGAATTCAGGTCCATATAGCCTACGGTATAGTCACTTTTATCATTATTCAAATTTGAAATATCTCTTTTACAGAAGTTTAATGTGACGGCTTGAAGCTAACATTTTGAAAATAGTATAGCAGTATAGAGCCTGTTACATACAAAGCAAGATACTGTTTTGATGATACTTTAAAATCATTAAAAACTTTGAATATAAATCTGCTGATTTTTAAGGGACACACAATAAATTCCAAAGTCCTTCTGAAGTGCATGGTGATTTGAGCTGTAAAAGAACAGAATATTATTAGCATTTAATATTCATGGCAGACTCTTGATTTACACATACCTGCCTCTGACGTACTTCTTGATGCCATTCTTGTGGTTGTAATTCATTTGCATCACGAATCGCTCTATCCATCTGCTCAACCCTCTCTCTGTTCTTATGTTCTCTTCCTTCGTTAATTGATCCACTGTACACAAAAAAGAATAGTAGATCGGGCAAAATTAAGCTTAAAAAATCCAGGACAACTTCATCCTGGAAAATCATCATTAACTCTTTTCCCACTTTCCAGCATCCACCAAGAGACCCATGCTATGGTGACTCAACTTTCCTATGCAAGATAATGATTTGGGATACAGATATTTTCAGGGACAACAGGGACACCGGGCATTTTGGCAAGTAATTAAAGGCTTGTTCAGGTGCCCTAAACCCCCAACAAAAATCATGCATTAAAAAAGAACAGCCTGAATAACTTTGAATTGAATTGCATTGACCATATACATGCAGAGCTGTCAACCTTGCAAACTAGATCTTACCTCTCAACGATGAGGAAGCATTTGGACCGTTCTTTTCTTGCTCGTCCCTTTGATTGCACCGTTCCAATCTCATTGCTGACAAAGTTGTACCTGATGATTACATTGCAAGCAGGAATATCCAAACCTTCCTGGACGATATCAGTGGCCACAAGGAGATTAGCTCGGTCTTTATAATGAAACAAACAAAATAGAAACACCTTGTTGTACTATTATCAACAAGTACATGTAATTGAATATGGTGGTGGTTATTCTACCTGACAGCTAAGAAAGCATAAATGCTTGTAAGTAAGCAACCAGACGGCCAACGGCCTTAGGTCCTCTCCGAGGGACCTGGTAATGAGGATTAATGCCTTGCCAAAGGGCACTAGCGCATCGACTTGGTTTCGAACCCGAGTCAACGGATCACGAGACCACTCCTCTACCGACTGAGCTATCGCGCCTCCTCAATTATTAGTCAAAGTATTATGTGCATGTATATTCCTACCAACCCCTTGAATACTACTTGATTGCTATATAATTTGTTCTTTAAAAACACTACACCGTGAGTTATCTTGGGCTTTGAATTCGGCAGGTTAAACATGATGACTTACTTTCTATGGAACGGTCAATTCATCATGAACTCCCAGTGCAAAGTACTTGAGTCTTATTCTGCTCTGGATTCTGTAAACTACCTTACAATATCTGTATTATCTGTGGGGTAGCAATCTTCAAGAGCAGATGCTACTTGCACTGTATTACAAACAAGCACGGTAGCACCCTTAAAGACAGTATCCTCAAACATTCTAAAAGAAAACTCTGAGGCATATTACCGCTTTTGAAGTCATTCAACGCAGCTTCTTGTCTTGCCAGTGTTAGTCCTTGATCAATATCTCCGCTCTGTCCAACTATTCGGACTGGCTTAATTGGAGGTTTGAGTTTCTTCAGTTCATCACACTCGTTGATGAATTTCAGCAAGGCATGTGTTGCAAAACGGGTCCTTGCTAGCACAATCCCTACAAAGAAATTTTTGTTTTAAATGTTAATATACACTGTACATTCAAGTACAGAGCCATGATGTCTGTCACTACTCCAATTTTGTGAAAAACAAATCTTATAAGCCTTGGAATAGAACTATCTAGATAGACGGCGCTATAGAAATGCCTATTATTATTATTATCATTATTATTATATAAACCAAACGTATTGGGCAAGATGGGACAAGTTCATATTTAATTGACATCAATTTAAGGAAATCCACATTTTGAATTTCAATCTATAATACAGGAGTTGTCTTGTGCAAAGCTGAAAAGAAAGTTATTTCGCTATTTAATACATACAGCTATTTAATAAAACGTGTTATTCATGAAGATATAAAAGGTATTGTTTGACACTACCTTTTCCCCCACTTTAACATTCCATCACACATAAGATTATTTTATTGTGTGGCAGTGGTTGGCATCGTATTTGGCTTTATAATTAAAGATCTGATAAAATCCACGATACTCACCTTTTGATTTCGGTTCCTTGCTATACACCCTCTTGATCATCTCATGTAGACAGAGTAACTTGGGATTGGACAGCGGATTCTCCTTACTCGCTAGTTCCGTCAGCTCCTGCAAGTTCTTCTCATAGATCATCCTACAGTCCCGCCATCCCTTAATTCATCCTGTCTCCCCTTTGTCTGTCGCTTGAAGATCTCCATAGACTCTAGTGCGTCCGTGGCGCGTAAATCCTCGTACAGTAGTAGGGCTAGGTTTAGACGGAACAGATAATTGGCACAGATTTCAAGGTTGGGGAAGCGAAGCTCTGCATCAGCACGAATCTTGGCAATCCAGTTCTCGTACACTTGAGTTCCATATGTTGGGGAGGAGAAAGTGATGCCTTCATGGTCGTCCTGGTGCTTGGCTAGGACTTTCTGCTCAATCTCTTCCATGATGGTTTCCAGGATCTCAATAAAGCGGGAACTTTCTGGGGTTAACTCTCTCCTAGGGAGTGCAAGTATTTGATCCTGTTCTGGTGGCTTGTTGTATTTCTTCATTTCTTGCACATTTTCTGGCTTGTTGACAATCATGACTCCATAGCTATCCAAGTTTGCACATAGTGTAACAATGTGACCATGTGCATCGTCAGAGGTGCCTGTACCAACCGATGCAGTAAGCCCTACATGTAGGAAAGAAAAGTATTCAAACAGAATAAAAGAACATTAAAGGGATCAGGTAACTTTGTCTTAGATCCTTCAAAAAAATCCTTGTTTTAGCTCATGTTGCAATGAAAATTATAAACCTTTAGGTCAGTTAGGAACCTCATGACTCTTACAAGCCGATCGCCTGTCTGATTATCAAGATATTTATGATTGAAAAAACAAAATCAAATTTTGCGTTTGCCAAACGGTTTTCATAACACTACAGTCTATTGGGGAAAATGAGAATGGAAAAACTGGTCACTCAACGGTTTTTACTTTTTTGAGGCACTTCTTGATCACTTTGAAGCGCAATTTTTGTAGGGCTTTAATGTAACACCATATCACAGACACTGATATCACGTAGGGCCGAGCATCTCAGATTTAACATTCTGAAATGTCCCTTTAAGTGTTGGGCCATGTCTTATAAAGAGTTATGATTGATTTGAAGCAATCATAACTTGAACAAGTCAACGCAAAGCGTAGCATCCCCTCGCAGGGTTACCTCCATTGGTCTATTATATATTACTAGGCAAGGAAGTTAACCACATTTTCACATATGTAATTAGGTGTTTTTGCATATTTAATGAGCTATGACCTTTCACCTTTGACCTACATACTCAGCAATTGAACTAAGGCTGTGTTTTGATACCATGTACCTTCATATCGAATTTCATTAAAATTTGTCAAATATTACTCAAGTTATGGAATGGAAACCAGATTCGCATATTTAATGAGCTATGACCTTTGACCTACATACTCGGAAATTGAACTTACTGTAGGCTGTGTTTTGATACCATGAACCTTCATATCAAATTTCATTAAAATCTGTCAAACATTACTAATGTTATCGATCGGAAACCAGATGTGTATTTTATCGCATATTTAATGAGCTATGACCTTTGACCTTTGACCTACGTACTCCACAATCAAACTTAGCCTGTATTTTGATATCATGTACTTTCATATCAAATTTCATTAAAATCCATCAATCATTACTGAAGTTATCAATTGGAAACCAAATTTGTTACGGACGCACGGACGGACGCATGGACTGGCGGACGGCAGCGATTCTATATCCCCTCCGACTTCGTCCGCGAGGAGATAATTAAACGCATCTACTATCTCTTAAAGGCATTAATTGTTCAAAAATGCCAAATCTGAGATGCATGATCAGCATCTGTGATATGGTGTAATGTTGAAGGCCTAAAAAAGTTGCGCCTCAAAATGATCATGAAGTGCCTCAAACAAGTAAAAAATCTTTGAGTGACCGATTTTTAATTTTCCCCGGCCAATAGACTGAAGTGTTATAAAAACCGTTGGGAAAAGGGTTGATGAAATTTTGAATGCCAATCATAAATATCTTGATAATCAGACGGGCGATCAGCTTGTAAACATCAAAGGATTCCTGACTGACCTAAAGGTTTGTAATTATGATTGCAGTATGAGCTAAATCCAGGATTTTGTTTAAAATCTGAGACAAATATACCCAATCCCTTTAATACACAGTTGCGATTAATTTTGAGTTGCAATCAATTTGAATCAATTCATTCCCAACTCTTTAAAGGGGAAGTCCACCCTGAAATTAAGTTAGTTTTAATAGGAGTAGAAAAATGAGAGAAACAAGTCAGTGAAAGTTTGAGCAAATTCCGATTAAAAAAAGGAAGTTAGGATTTTTTAAGTTGTGATCAATCAAACACAAATTGGCAACTCTATGACGTTAAATGCGAGCTCAACTTCCATTTGCTTAGTACTAAAATAATCTAAAATTTTCATTTTCCCTCAAGAAAAATTTCAACCATACATGCACCCTAAATATAATAATTGCAAATATGTTTCTATACTCCCCCTGCAAGGAACAAATATATATTCCGTCATCAATAACGAAGAAAACATGATTTTATGGAATATTATGCACAAAGCAAATGAAGGAGAGCTCGTATAATAAGTCACAGAGTTGCCCATTTGTATTTGATTGATCACAACTTCAAAAATTCATAACTTTCTTATTTTCATTCAAAATTTGCTCAAACTTTCACTCACCTGATTTTCTTATTATTCTGCCTCTATCGAAACAAACTTATTTTGGGGGTAGACTTTCCTTTAAAATACAGTCCCCTTGTAAAGATAGAAAATAAATTGCTCAACTTTCATGTTAATATACTTTTTATTCACATGTGAAAGAAATTAGGTAGCAACATCCCAGCAACATAACTGCTCCTGAAACTGTAATTATTTATGACTCAAAATAACTTAAAGATTTCCATGTCTCATTCTGTAATTGTCTGGTGCCTTTCTTTGTTTGTAATTTTCAGCAATACATACCGGTAGCCCATTTGTCTAATTATGATGATTCGAAAATCTCATAATACACGATTAGAATAATAATGTTAACTTTTAATTGCCGATGGCGCCACAGCGTTTAAAAAAAAAATATATCCTCAAAATTGCCATTCGCTTATAAATACACAAACAAAAATGTAGGTGTTTTTTTTGCAACGTTTTGCTGCTGCATATTTGAACAGGCAGCCAAAGCAGGCAAAAATTTAAGAATGTATTTAAATTTGGACAACTTACCAACCACCTGGGGTATTCCTCCTTGGGGACGTCCTACAGGCTGTCCTATAGGCCACTGCTCTTCAGGTACTCCTTGCTGAACTAGAACAGCTTTCTTCTCCCTCAGGTAATGTCGCATGATTTCATTGTAAGGGTGGTTCAGGGTCGTGTGGTGACATTCATCAAATACCAGCATAGACACTTCAGGTAGCTTGAATTCATTCTGGGTCAGGGCATTCACTAACACCTGGGAAGTTATCATCAAGACTCTTACATTGCCTTTCTCAAAGGCATCACGGAACATCTGCCCTTCCGCAAGAGATGTAACCTGCCCTGGAACGAATAAATCTTGGAAGCCATCTCGCTGCTGCTTCTTCAAGTGCCTTGTAGGAACAATGAAGATGGCTTTGAAGTCATCTTCTTTGCCAGCTTCCTTCATTTTCATCATATTTGTGTGGCAAATGTGAGCTGCGGTGATGGTCTTTCCTGACCCTGTTGGAGCACAGATTACATAGTTGACACCTTGGAGTCCTGGGTCAGCTAATTCCACCTGGTAGCCTCTCAATTTTTTGTAACCTTCTTGTCTTTTCGAGGTTTGCGGAAGTCAAGAATGGAAGAAGCGTGTGCCCCTGCTGCAGTTTCACCAACTTGCTCTTGATCTGATGCAGAGTCTCTGACAACATCTGCTGGGAGAACCTCTGCTCCAGAAGGGGCATTTGCACTGTCTCTTACAGTGTCGCCTTCACCAATGACAGGCTGCTGTTGGTTGGGATTACTTGTAACCCTTGACGCAATCTCCTCTGCCTCACTGAGACTGAGATCGACAAGTCGTTGGATGTTCCTTAGATGATCAGGTGTTGAGGATGGTTGGATCGCATGTTCTAGGGTGTGATTGATGTTACCAGCGGCCCCCAGGGATGAAGCGTGTGCTTGAACTTGTATCTGTGAAGCTGCTTGTTCATCACTAGTGCGCAAAGATCTTGCTGAACTCATCATCGATCCTGAACTGGAATGTGGAAGCTGCTCAGCATTAGCATTACCTGAATGGCCAATTCCAGTTGGTTCATTGCTTATAAGTGGTGATGCTGTACTGATGAGAGAGTTTGAGTTAGCAGGAGACAGATGAGCAGGGGTCACTGAAACAGGCTCACCTTGCCCTGGTACCATATTACTTTGCATTGTTCGGAGTGGCTCTGAGCTCTTCAAGCCATGATTAACAACCGCAGGATTACCCACAGGTTCCTTGCTTTTTAGAGATCTCTGTAAACTAACTGAACTGACATCTTGACCAGTGTTGGCATGGACCACTCCAGCAGATGACTGGTCACTGGGTAAACCTTGCATTTGGACGACATTGCTTGGCATTGGTGGTAATGGCTCTGTGCTCTTTAATCCATGACTAAAAGTAGTACCAGCGCCAGGATTTGGGCTTAATGCTGAGCTCTGTTGTAAGTATCCACTGGTAGGGGAAGCTGCTGGTGTTGAACCTGGAGACTGTGAGCTTGGGACTTTGCGTGGTGCTTCATAAGCTGTTGCTCCCGGTGAAGTGGTAGGGGAGGCTGCTGGTATTGAACCCGGAGACTGTGAGCTTGGGACTTTGCGTGGTGCTTCATAAGCTGTTGCTCCCGGTGAAGTGGTAGGGGAGGCTGCTGGTATTGAACCCGGAGACTGTGATCCTGGGACTTTGCGTGGTGCTTCATAAGCTGTTGCTCCAGGTGAAGTACCACCATGATGATATCTTGGGCTGTTGTGTGGTGGAGAGACTGGATAATACGCAGAAGGCTGACCTTTGGGCGTGCTCGGGGATGGAACAGGACCTTGGCTAATATTACTACCTACACCAGGTGATCCAGGAGACGGCGGGTTTGGAGCAGGAGTTCCTGAGCCAGAAGGGCTAGATCCTTGTCCTTCGCTACTTAACTGAGACCGCTTGTACTCTATAAGCTGTTCTATAATTCAGATTAAAGTGAAAGAAAAGAAGGAAAAAATTAATAAAACCAGTGGCAATGAAATACATGCAGCATAATTGTAAAACAATGACATTTTTAAAATAGGAAGAACAGGAAAGTGTCTGCACTGTCTCTCTTTATTTCCATTGCATACAAAAAATAGATGGAACTTCGACTGCGTGCTCCGCTATAGAGCAATTTTACAAACCAAGACGGAAGCAACTTGTAAAATTCAAGTTTGGCTCTGTGCTCTTTAATACATGACTAGAAGTAGTACCAGCTCTACAGGCCTTAAATTTTAATGTTTTTAGGGCAAGGCCACTTTTCTGTAGGGCACATTCCTACATGTATATGTTGCTCTATATTACAGAACAAATATTAAGAATTGGAAAGGGCACAAAAAATCTCCAAGGCCAGTGAGAGGGGCATTGAGGCCAATCAAAGGGGCATCCATGGCCATGGCCTTGGTGGCTTTGCATTAATTCAAGCCCTGCCTCTAGGATTTGGGCGTAATGCTGAGCTCTGTTGTAAGTTTCCACTCTAACATTCTGGATAACATTCTATACTCCAAATGAGAAATGGGATAGAAAAACGTGTCATGATTGAAGATGTGTTAGGTATATAGAGAGAGATCGAAAGTACATGTAGATATAGATTCGGGATTGAGTTTTGAGCTTGACATGCAAGAGGAATATAGGATCTCGTTCTAGTCAATTGTACAGTAGACTGAAATCATTTCTCATTAAGTAATAATAAAATTATTGGAATATTGGAATACAAGCCTACGGTATTTCTTATCAATTAGTTCTTTCCTGCCAATTTTGATTTTTAGTGAATTTTTAAAAGTATGCACGTCTTTATTTCAACTACATTCTGTTGGCTGATTGTACGCACATTGAAGGCTCGATTACAGGATCGCGGCGCGGCTCGTCGGACATGATGCATAACTCGTATTAAAAGTACTGTGTCAGTGTGTGCGACTGATTCAAGACTATAGCGACTGTACTTTCGGGCGGAATTTAAATGTCATTTTGGACTTTGTCCCGGCAATGACATGCCAATTCCCTCGGGCCTGTCTAACTCTGAACATATATTATTGACCATGAAATTTAAGTGCTAGGCTCTTACGGATAGATAAGGGTAAATCTACAGTGTAGATCACTTTTGGAGCTAAATCAGTGTAAATATCTCCTATTCTATGACACTTCTGGAGTCGACAGATGGGTGAGTTGTCTTAGGGCGCGTTCATGCTTGATTTTGAAGGCAGAATGAGCGATTTGTAACGCTCATCGTAAACGCTCATCGTAATCGCAGTTCCACGGTGCACTGTTCATGCTCACTTCTCCAGGCAATTCTCCTTGGGTGGCCTTCAGCTGGATTCGCAAACCTGTGTGCGCATGCTACGTAGACCCACTAGAGGTCAGTGCGTTGACCCCATTTAAACGCGTTTACAAATTGTAAACGCATCTTTTTGTGAGTTTACGATCGGCGATCGTGATCGCCGTTTTTTGGTGATTCTACAAAAGTGAGCATGAACGCAATCGTGTTTTAAACTACCTGTAAACGCGTAACAGATGCCTGATTCTGGCCGTCAAAATCAAGCATGAACGCGCCCGTAGTTAACACTATGAATATGATGGACAAAGACAGCGGACAAAATATACAGTTCCTCAGGTAGACAAAGGAACATCCCTTCACTGCTATTATGTAAAAATGTGTAGAACAGGTGAATATGCATGTGACACCTGTTCTACACATTTTTACACAATTGTGAAGGGATGTTCCTTTGTCTACCCAAGGAACTGTTTTTTTTTTGTCCGCTTTCTTTGTCAGTCATATTCATAGTGTAAGATAATTGCTTTCTTTTAAAACTAGTTCTGACATTTAGAAATGGGTAATTAAGATTTTAGCTTTTGGTATTGGTCTCCCTTCTCCAATATTTGTTCAACCCGCCCCCCCCCCCCCCCCTAATATCGCAGACTCGGAAGAACTCAAATGCATACGACAGGCTAATCTTCATTCTCATACTTACCATACTTCTCCTTGGCTGCCTTGCATATATCCTGACGTCCAATGTCAAGCAGGTCATCAAACAGTTCACTCGGATCGTCTTCGCCGTAATTAAATTCGTTGGGTCTGTTTAACATGTAAACCCAGAAATTGCGGAAATTGTTCTCACAATCTTCTGTATCCTTCTGGGGTAATTCTTTTAAAAACACCCAATTATGTCTTTCTTCTTGAGTCAAATTATTCTGAATATACAACAAGATACCCCTGTAGCTAGGCTTTTTAATTTTCACCTTAGCAGCCATCGCGACAGAAAAATTATACGAAATTTAACGTAAGTAAACGTCTTTCAGGTCCCTTCATTCTGTCGTGTACGTAGGCGAGTCCTACAGTGATGAAAACTTAGCGTTCAGATCAGTGGTACGTGGTGGAATGGTTGGCGTGGCTATCTGAGTTTGCTGATGCGCGATTGCATTTAAAGAGGGGGTCAAATTATTATTCGTAAATTTTGTGTATGGATTTATTTCTTATCATTATGCAATAAATGTAATTATTTCTAAATTTTATTTTGAATATGATTAGATTTAAATAATAACAGTCAAAAAGTACGTAAAAGAGCATTAATTTATTAAAACTCATATATATTAGAACCCCCGCTTTACAAGTAGTATGATCCAAACGCGAAAAGTCAGTTTTGCAGTGGGGAATCCCCATCATTGGAATCCCCCATATTTTTTTTGTCAACGATGAATACATCAGGATGACGGCACTAAACCTGATGAAATGTTTGCGAATAAAAATTTTGACTTTCATAAATTGTGTGAGAAAGGGAAACACAGCACAGATGGAATAATGGAATATATATGGAAACTGACAAACATCAACCAGTGGCGTACCTGGGGTACTCCGTCAGGGGGGGGCAAGCAACCGAAACAAACAAAAAAGGCGATGCTAATTTTCACTTCTGGCGAGCGAGCGAGCAAAAAAAAATCTTTAAGTAACGTTTGGTATATAAACTGGTATTGTCGCAAGTTGGGGGTGGGAACATTCACTTGTTAGCGACGTTAATTTCATTTTTTTTGCAAACGAGTGTAGCGAGCAAGAAAAAAATCACTTCTTTTTTATAATTGCCACTTAAACTTGGTTCAATATTTATTGTTCCATGCAGGGCGCGGGAACAATATTGTGTTTAGGGTGATATTATACCCATTTTAGCTAGCGAGCGAATACATCTTTCTCTCAATGAATTGCTATATAAAATTTGTTTCATTGTTGCAGGTAGGGGGCGGGCACAATCGTGTTTAAGGCAATGCAATCCCATTTTGGCGGGCAGGCAACCCCCTACATTTCTCTTTTTAATGATATTGTAGCAGGTTAGTGGTGGGCACATAATTCCACGAGCTAGCGAGCGTAGCGAGCGAAAAAAAAAATTACTTCTCTTTTATAGGGAAAATATGTTACATAAAACTTGGGTTCATTGTTCCATGTCAGGGACGTGATAAGTGAAAGCGGTGTTATTTCTATTTTGGCGAGCGAGCGTAGCGAGCGAGCAAAAAAAAACCACTTCTCTTTTATAGGGAAAATATGGTATATAAACTTGGGTTCATTGTTCCATGTCAGGGACGTGATTATTAAAAGCGGTGTTATTTCTATTTTGGCGAGCGAGCCAAAAAAAAAAACACTTCTCTTTTATAGGGAAAATATGGTATATAAACTTGGGTTCATTGTTCCATGTCAGCTAGGGACGTGATTATTAAAAGCGGTGTTATTTCTATTTTGGCGAGCGAGCGTAGCGAGCGAGCAAAATTTTTGTAATGATAATTGGTTCATAAATTTCAGATTTTTTTGTTGCAGGGCAGGGCTTACACAATCATGTCTAAGGTGATGTTAATTCCGTTTTGGCGAGCACGAGCACACCAAAACTTCTTTGAATAACGTTTGGTACATAATTATTAACTGGTTGTTGCAGGTTGGGGCGGGCACGTTAGCGGTGTCAATTCTATTTTGGCGAGCGAGCATAGCGAGCAAGCAAAAAAAATAAATTCTCTTTTAATAGAAATTAATAAATAAACTTGTTTTTATTGGTGCAGGTCAGGATGGACGCAATCGCGTTTAACGCGATTCAATTCCTTTTTGGCGAGAGGGCGAAAAAACTCTTCCATTTTTAATGATATTGTTGCAGGTCAAGGGTGGGCACAATTGTTTCCAAAGCAATGTTTATTCATTTTATTCGCGAGCGAGTGTAGCGAGCGAGAAAAATGAATTAGTCTCTTTTAGTAACATTTGGTACATATATTGTGTGTTATTGTCGCCATGGTTGCAGTTCGGGGCAGGCACAATTGTATTCTAGGCAATACTGATCCTTTTCTTTTTTCAGGCGGACGAGCAAGTGAAAACATTTTATACAAAATAGGCTAGCAAGCAGTTCGCACCTGCGAAGAGTTTCGAATTTGTTATATCACTTATATTTTCCTTTTTTCATTAATTTTTCAGGGCCGTATGCGGAATATTTTTCTGGTGGGGGAGGGGGAAAGATGCGTTAAAAGTTTTCGAAGAATCTCAAAAGCAAAAGGAGTGAAGGGAGTTTGAGCGACCGAACTGGTCATGAGGGTACTTTTGCATTTTCAAAAGTAGAACATTTTCAGGAAAAAAACTGTACGTTTTCAAAATATCTGGGGTCAACTGCCCCCCCCCCCCTGGTGCGTACGGCCATGGTCTTTTTTTTTTAAATTTCCCCATTTTTATTCCTTTCCTTTTCTTTTCCCTTTTTCTTCCTTTTCTCTTCTTCTTCCTTTTTTCTTTCCTTTTTTTCCTTTTTTCTCTTTCTTTCCTTTTTTCTTTTTCTTTCCTTTCCTTTCTTTTCTTTTCTTTCCCCTTTTTCTTTTTTCCCCTGGAGCCCGTCAGGGGGGGCACTCTGCCCCCCTGCCCCCCCCCATAGGTACGCCAGTGACATCAACCCAAAGTGGGAAAAAGCAACCAAAAAAAAAAAAAAAAAAAAAAAAATCGGCCTGAAGGTCAATACAACAATAGGGTTGGTGTCACCGTCAATTCTTTCAGTTCACCCTTTTTCCGTCTCGGAGCTCGTTCTTGAACAATATTAAATTTGTTACTTAATATTCTGCCCTTTTTTGTGTTTTTGTTTTTTTGTTGGTGTTTGAAGATTTTATATTCTTATCATGTAAATCTTTTGTAAATATTGTGATTCTTGATGATTTGTTTAATAAAAACCATAGAGATATGATAAAAACATAAAAAGAAAAAAAAAAGAAAAAAGAAATTAATTAATTTTAAAAAAATACACCTTTTTTTTTTTGTAGTTGGCCTTATGGTAGAAAAAATGAATTTAAGAGACTCTGTTTCCAAAGAAAAAAATTACAGGATGTTTCGTGACATAATTAAAATATTGCTTCCATTTCATATATATATAAAATAAATTGTAGAGTCTCTCCATGGACCTCTCTTTCTCTCTCCCTCTCTCTCTCTCTCTGGCTCTCTGGCTCTCTCTCTCTCTCTCTCTCTCTCTCTCTCACTCTCTCTCCATCTCCCTCTATATCACTCTCTCCCTCTCTCTTTCCTTCTCTCTCTCTTACTCACTCTCTCTCTCCCTCCCTTTTATATGGGTGAAACATTTTATTTAAGTCCAAGTCAAAATCTGATCTAACATTACTATCACAAGCGCTCTCCGGTCTCTTGCAGCCCCATACTTATAGCTACTTGCGCCCTTTATATAGCAAACAATGCCTAGTAATCGGTGACCATTGGTCCCCCATGATCCCCTTTTTCTAATAATTGAGAACTTATTTGATGAGATAACAACCCACTTGTCAGTGATTATACAGGGAGGTCTAATCCCTCCTGGCCAAACTAGTGCAAGTGAGGCACTGTAGCTCTCTCTCTTGCATGATTCTATTTCCATTGATCATGCGTTTCTCTTCAAAATTATCATTTCCAGATTATAAGTGTGCATAATTATGATCAGTAATTAGTAGCCAGTCACAACGATGAGGACAATAAAACGTTCAACAAAATTACACCACATACCGTATGGCAACAACAAAACTATAATTGTTTATATAAAATTGTCAATTTAGAATCGGTTATGACTTTCGCCGGTTTGACTGAGTCAAGGCCGAACCATATTTAAGGGAATACAAATGAAATAAAGAAATGATAATTAAAACAGTTGAAATTTAAGTCCTCGATCGAGGGTTGAACTGTCAATGACTTTTATTTCAACTGTTTTAATTATACTATAGTGCTATGATTATTTCCTGACATTATCATCTTGTTGACCATCATTCTAAATCATACATGTATCACAATTAAAGCATTCGTTTGGATGTGGCTTGCCATTGCCCAAAAACTCATTTGCCCCGACAGAGGAATTATTTTCTGAATAATCTATTGGTATATCGGTCAATAAGTTTGGTGTCGCTGAAGCCACAAGTCCGTCTCGTTGGTAACGCGTGGTGGTCCCAGGTTCGATTCCCGGCTGAGACATTTTTCAAACCTTTTCCAAAAATTTCCTTTTCGCATTATATATAATTATAAACACATAATCAAAGAGTAGAAAGAAATGTATAGACTAATTATTTACCTTTTGTTCCTTCCTTGAAATTAATCGAACTGAATTCACATCATATTTCCATGAGGTATATGCCCTGCATTTGAAGTGAATTTCATATACATATGTCAGGTTAGCTCAAATGTATGTATGTTGTAAGTCCTATTTCGATTGGAATGTTACATAGAAGAAGTGACATTTATGTTAAGTTGATACTAGTCTTATACAATTTTGTAAGTATATCTTTAGGCTACTCTATGCCTGTTGAGAGAAAAAATAATTGGAAAAAAGGGAAAGAAGAATTAAGAAGAAGGGGAAGAAGCAGGAGGAGAAGAAGAAAAATAAGAAGAACAAAGAGGAGGAAGAGGAGGAGGAGAATAAAAAAGGGGTAGTCTAAATACGTGGGCGTGGCAGTCAACCATTATGTTGGGGTTATGGGTTAAGGGTGTCTTAACAAACATAAAGCCTTCTCTTTTGACTTCGGATTTAACGAAAAATATTCATCAAAATTTAGCTCTAACCATCATGAATAGTTGTCCTTTAGATGATTTATGAAATGTTGCTCGTAAACTTCTTAAAATTGCCGTTTCAATTCAACTGTCCATAGAAAAACACAATCAGGTGGCACACAACGTCTGGGTATATATATTAGCTCGAGAAAGTATTTTGTAGACAAACCAATTTCTGCAACTTCATCTCGATATTCTAAACCACGATTACTATCTACAGTGACCCAATAATGTGCATGTACATTACACACACATAAATACATGAGCATGAACCCCCTCCCCTGGCCAAAATAAAGAAGAAGAAGACCCTCCCCCCATGGATTTTTGTTGTTGTTGTTGTTAATGCTCAAAGGGTGGGGGAGGGGGTGGGTGTTGAGTAAAAAAAAATAGAGGTCCATACCCCCCCCCCCCCCCCCGTTGAGCCAAACTAAACAAATAGTGCTCACTACGTATACCCCGCTTATTCGGCCGGTCGGCTAAGTCGCCGCTTAATATTTTATCATAAATTGGGCCCCCTTCCTCGCCGCCGGATCCGCCCCTGGTATGAACAAACTCGTCATCGCAATGCGATTTTAATTTTAGAACATAATATTGTTATAATTTTGTACAGCACCATGAGCGTCAGAGCCTGGCGGATACCGGCGCTATATTAATATCCATATTATTATTATTATAATACCCAAGGCGCGGATCTAGGGGGGGGGGCGAGCGGGTCTTGCCCCCCCCCCACCCCCGCAAAAAAAAAGGAGAGAGAGAGAGAGAGAAGGAAAAGGGAAAGAGGAGAGAAAGGAAAAGATTTAAGAGGAAGAAGTAAAGAAAAGGGGGGAAAATGAGATCGGGGCCGAAAGGGCCTTGCCTCCCCCCCCCCCCATCAAAATAATAAGAGAGAAGGAAGGAAAGGGAAAGAAAAAAGGAAAAGAGGAGATAAAGGGAAGGAGAAGAATAGAAAAGAAGGGGGATATCAGTTGCAATTCTCCCGCAAACAAGTTGTTGATCGGCGGGAGGGGGCAAAAGGCCCTTGCCTCTCCCTGCCCCCGCTAATAAAAGAGAGAGGAGGAAGGAAAGGGAAAGAGGAGAGCTAAAAGGGAACAAAGAAGAGAAAAGAAAAGAGTGAAAAGAAAGGGAAGTTTGTTAACCCCGCCAACAACGTGTGGAGCGGGGTGGGGCCGAAAGGCCCTTGCCCCCCCCCCCCCACCCTCTTACCCATAAACGAGAGAGAAAGAAGGGAAGTGAAAGGGAAAGAGGAGAGAAAGGGAAAGTAGAAGCAAAAAGAGAAAGAAGAAAGGTAGGGGAGATCAGGTCCGATTTTCCCGCCAACAAGGTGTAATGGGGGGTTGGGCACTAGCGTACTGATAAGGGGGAGGGGGGCTTGGGGGAAACATAATTCTAATTCAATAACGGTCGTTTACAAATAATGCTAAAATGACATAATTTTCCGAGATTTTTCCTCAATATTTAGTAAATTATACTTTTGTACTTTTGCCAGGCAAGAAATATGAGATGCCTACATGTCAGGGCCCGCGGAACGGGGGGGGGGGGGGGGGGGGGAATCGGGAGCCTCGAGCTCCTTCCCCCTACTTTTTTTTGGAAAAGTATATATTAAAGAGAAATAGAAAGAAAGAGAGCAAGAAAGAATAGTTAACTGCCAGTGTCACAAAATAATGAGATATCAAACTATGCTCATCTGACTGTGATTAAATGCCTAAAACCCCAAAGCTTCCGGGGGCTCTGCCCCCTGGATTCTACCTAGGGCCCTAAGGCGGGCCCTTAGATGCTCATCTGACGGTAATGTATTGCATTAAACCCCTGAGCTTCCGGACAATAATTGTATCAAATTATGTTCATCTGACCGCAGGCGCTTAGCAAGGGCGGGGGGGGGGGGCAGTCCCCCCAAAAAACGCCAGCCCCCCCCCCCCCCAAAAAAAAAAGAGGAGAGAAAATGAAGAGGACGTGGGGAAAAAAGGAGCAGACAAAAAACATTTTTGAAAGTCGAGAACGCCGGGTACAACGAATCGTCTTCTTTCTCTAAGATTTTATGAAACGTAAAGCTTCCGCGCTCCGCGCAGGAGGGGGGGGGGGTGTGAAACTGAATTCAGACGAGAATTTAAGAGACGAGAACGGTACAACGAATCTTCTTCTTTCTCTAATAATTTAATGAGGAGGGAGGGGGATCGAACTCGCCCCTCCCTGCATCCACCCCCTATTACGTCAATGCTGGTCTCCGATATTTGGCTCGCATAATTTAAAATTTGCCCCCCCCCCCCCCCAAGAAATCCTGGATCCGCGCTTGTATTATCCTAAATTAAAGATTTAGTTTGCATATGTTTTTGACTGTATATTTTAAAAGCGATTATTTAGCAATAACTCTATGGAAAAAAAATGAAAATGTATGTCATTGTCAGTTAAACATACTTGCTCCAAGAGAATATGGCTTTTTAAAGTAGGCCTCCAATTTTTTCCGAGTTTGTTCCTATATAGCCACTGACTGCTAACGGATCCATGCACAGTCAGTTGTTTAGCTCCAGCCACAGCGTACTGAGAAAAGGTTGCGACATGCGAAAGGGTACACACTATCCATTTGAGCTCCAAATAGTACCTCCCAGATGCTATATATCTCTACGGGAGGAAATTATTTCAGCGCTCCATGAATTGCGCATGTCACAACTATCTCTTTCATTATGCTACGGCTTTAGTTATCTCTGACGGCATGCGCATGCGCAGTGCATGATTTGCTTCTGTATTACGCCGATATGCCATATGCATAGAATTATGGATGGAACCCGAGGACGGACGGGTCCTGTATGTAGTGTCGGGTCGTGAATTATGATGTTTGTGGCACGGTGCATTCATCGTAAAATGGTAGGTACAAACATCTGTGACTTTGATCACGTTAAACAATATTTTCATCAATGAATGTGTGTAGCTGTAGGCTGTACCGGTACTGTACAACCGTAGTCCCAGACATAACTTAAAAGTTAAAACCGAACGCTTGCCAGGCTAGCGCCAGCGCCAGCGCCAGCGCGGCGCCACTCCAGGGCCACACATCACATCACATCACAGCTGCATTACTGCTACAGCTATCCTGGCTGGCTGTGTATTAAAACCTGTTCCATTGATTCTCAACATTTCAAACACCACCTGACCACTGTACAAAACTCAACTGATTTCACTCAAAATCGGTCCTGTAGATATAGGCCTAGGCCCTAGATCTAGATCTAGATCTATTAGTGACAATCTAGCAGTGCAGTAGATCTAAATTCAATTTTTTCAACTCGCTACTTTTGTCTAGAAGGAATAACAGTTAGATCTAGATCTAGATCTAGATCTACTTTAAAAATTAAAATTACAGCCACATCTGCATCATTGTGTGCATTTGTGTGTGATTTGTGTATTGACTAGACTATTCATGTGTGCATTTGCTTCCTACTAGGCAACTAGCACATAGATCTAGATCCAGTGCAGAGCTAGAGTTCAATATGCATTAGCATTGACTCTCTAATCTGCTTTGCTGTACATGCTGTAGTTAACTCCAGGAAGCTCTGACGCCGATGAAGAGAAAGTAGGCACTACCAATAGGGGCGCTAGTTCGAGAATACCGGTAAGGATCGTCTTCATAAACGAAGATTGTCTTTGTAAATGCGGACGAATGCCCTCAAAAACAAGGATCGTCTGCAAAAAAAGCAGATAGATCTATGTTCCATATTTTTGATCGGCACATTGGCGATGCAAAAAACGGATTCCGGGATGATTTTCTTGATGCATTTTACATTGACTTTGTACAGAGACCTACACATTATGAGCAATAAATCCTTGGGAAGACGGACAACCCATACAAGTAGACGGTCAACTAGGGTTAATTTCCCCTGGGGAATCCAAATTTGGCATTGCCAGCAGGCGGTTCGGTAACCCGAAACCCACAGAGCGCCGATGAAAAAAATGTCCGCGAAAATGCAGACGATCCTTGTTTATGAGGACGCATTTGTCCGCGTTTATGAGGATATCCTCGTTTATGAGGACGATCCTCATTCTCGGACCAGCGCCTCTACTGACTACCGCGCATGCATACTTTCTCTTCGCCATGTTGAGTCGACGATACAACATGGAAGAATCGTCGGGGTAGGACGAAGAATCACCCCCTTTTTCCCATATAAGACTTCTTTAAATTAAAATTTCAAGTGGCCAGCCAGATGCCCAGTAGCCTTTGAACAAGGTCACATGTCTGATAGACGCCGAGCAACTAAAACGAGACTAATCGCGAGTGAACGACAGAGTGAGAAGCACAGCCACGGTTAGACCGAAAGCTTCAGTCTCTATACCGTCGGTTGTTCCACTGAGACTACGTCTGGCTCCACTAGACCTCCGGTTATAGAGACAGAACGATCGCCTATGCCAGCCTATGTTGAAGATATCACGGCTAGATTTTAGCCGTTAGGCCCCTCCCACAAACATGAACAAACTTGCCACGGCCGTATTGTTATGCCCCCAAAATCCCCCAAAATGTCATTTTACCTCGTGCATATCCAATTTTACATTAGGCCTAGGCTATAATACATCGGTTCCACTTACTAACTTGAATGAAATAATCCGTTTAATGGTCCCTCTTAAGGAAATTATGGGTCAAAATCGACATCCATGTTGAAAATCTTGCAAGCCGTGTTAAACTCTCGCTGCCGTCAATCTCATCCCTTCTAGTCTACGCCAAAGGCAAAATGATTATGAAGGAAAAACTGTGCGCCATCTACACGTTCGTAATGGCGTTATCACAGTTTTTCCTTCATAATCATTTTTGCCTTCGGCGTAGACTAGAAGGGATGAGATTGACGGCAGCGAGAGTTTAACACGGCTTGCAAGATTTTCAACATGGATGTCGATTTTGACCCATAATTTCCTTAAAAGGGACCATTAAACGGATTATTTCAATCAAGTTAGTAAGTGGAACCGATGTATTATAGCCTAGGCCTAATGTAAAATTGGATATGCACGAGGTAAAATGACATTTTGGGGGATTTTGGGGGCATAACAATACGTCCGTGGCAAGTTTGTTCATGTTTGTGGGAGGGGCCTAACGGCTAAAATCTAGCCGTGATATCTTCAACATAGGCTGGCATAGGCGATCGTTCAGTCTCTATAACCGGAGGTCTAGTGGAGCCAGACATAGTCTCAGTGGAACAACCGACGGTATAGAGACTGAAGCTTTCGGTCTAAGCCACGGTAGCCTTTGGTAATCCAGGTTGGATTTCTTATGTTAACCTTTGTTTCCGACTGGAATTCTCTACCGAAATGTTAGCGTCCAATCATCGAACGTATCCTTGCATTACATATATAGTATCCATCACACACACACAGAATAAACTGTACTTATAGTACAAACATTGACCTACTATGAACTGACGTTCGGGCTATGACCACTGACCTCTACATGGAATGAAAACGAGACTGGTTCATTTTGTTTTTGGGTAAATTCTATTACAATAATTTTCGGATGAATGAATGTTGACTTTACCAAAAGAAATATGACTGAAAAGTTACTCTATTACAACATGAAGTCTTCTTGGCTTTTATCTGGTCCTCTTGCGATTAATTGATGGAAGAGGTCCAGGTGGTCCACTCAGTATGCTAGAGGATCCCTCAGATTCGACGATGCAGTCATCAGGATTGTAGTCGTCTGGGCCAACGAAAGAAGCATCTAAATAATGTCTGGTGGTTTGGAGGCGAGTGTCAGAGTTGATGGTACCCTGACCTCCTATCCAAGAAGGAGGGTGACTGCTACAAAGGGGAAAGAAAGGTGGATACTGGAAGTTAGGGCGATTGCCGAAGAAAGGGTGTGTGGTTCTTGCCAGTTGTTCCACTTCTGACTGTTGAGGGTGGGAGTTCTTGCCATTATTCATGATGAGATGTCTTGATGAGAACTTGCTTCTCGCATTCTTGTGGTAGCGCACATCGAGTTTGACCTGGGCGTTGTTCTTGTTCTGACCATCACTGTAGACCTTCTGGGACCGATGTGATGAAAGGAGACCCTGTGATGGAGCTAGCTGACCAAAGATTGGGGGTCGATAACAGTCACATGATTTGCAGAAAGTCTCTATGCATGAATGGCCAGAACATCTCGGACTTGGCTCGGTCTAGCGTTTGCTGTAGTCAAAATGGTCCGACGTAGGATGATTGTGGATCAGCGACAAGGCATGCGGGATGAAACTTTCAGGGATGACTGCTCGGTGGACTAGAGATTTTGTCTTCATATCCATCTTCGTTCGATAGAGGATGCCGTTGCGGATTGTGAAGCGGGGAAGCTGCCATAGATATCGACGAATTCTTGGAAGAAATTGTCGAATAACTTTGGGTGTCAGTTTCTGATGACTCGTCGCGAGTTGCTTGATCTGCTCAATCTCTTCGTCTTGCTGCTGAAACTGAAATATTCTAGTGCTGAGATCATCAGGATATGCAGCAGGCATCGCTGGATAGGTGTGCAGGCTTACAGAGGACACCGATCGATGCATTCTCGTCTGATCAAGTTCATCGGTCGTCTGAGTCCCGACTGATGAGAAAGATGTTGGGTGCGGTGTGGTTTGTGTACCGGTCTGGACGGTGTTTCTCTCCGAAGGATCACTTGGTTGCTTTGAGAGGTTGGGCTGACTCGTGGAGCATGAACAAGATGGAGGAAGCTGCCGCCATTCATCCGCCTTCCTTTCTATGTCACCAAGTCTCTGCAGAATCTGTCTTAAAAGAGCTGACCAATCATCACTAATGGTAGGGGGATAGTGATCTGGATTGTGTGAGTTAGGCGAGGACAAGTCAGAGAATGGTACCCTCTTCCTACCAAAAACAGCAGTGAGTCTGATTTTAGTGGCTTCATAGTTACATTTATCTGAACTACTAAAGGGCAATCCAGCTGTCAAATGCAGGTCCAGAAATACATGATCGTAAAAATATATGACGAAGGCTGATCGCTTCAGGGTCAGAACCAGTGGCCCGTTCAAAGTTCTGAAGCCAGACATCAAAATCTTGGCCATCGTTGCCAGTAAATAAGTCTGGTAGGTTAATACCGGACATAACAAAGTCTACAATATATGTACAAATATAGAACAGATTGACCAAAATATACGAAGTACATGTAGGATGCTGTTGACTCGAAGTACAATCTAACCAGGTAGGAAACGAAGAAGGACGTCAACCTCGGGAATAAACAGTGCCTGAGTAGACAAACAAATATGAGGTAGGAAGACACTGACTTCAAAAACAATCAATACACACGTAACTGGAACACGATGTAGGATTCTACTTGTAGTACTCGCTGACTTCAGTATCAACAACGTCACAGACAAGCAATAGATAAATAATTAGACAATGAAGTAAACTGTTAATGCAATTCAGAAGTCAAAAGTAGGCTTAAACTTGTAGATAACAGCTAGAAAAAAACTCACCAAAAATTGAAGAAGGGTGGAATTAGCTGAACAAGAACGAAGCTCAAGTTGACTGCAGAAGCTGGGCCTTCACATATATCGATGTAGAATAGTACAAACGATTGATAATGAAGCAAGATGCTACCAAAAATCGATGTAGGATGCCACAAAATGAAGAAGGAGGATGCTATATTACAGCAAATTGCAGTATAGTAACAGCAAAAATACAATAGGATGAAACAGTTAACTGACAGACCTGTAGCGAACAATGATGGAGGGAGATGACAAGTAGCTGGTACAGTAATAACAGCAGAGCTAACACCAAATGTTGATATACTATAGCTGTACTGAAACCTATCTAACACTACATTCACACCATCAGACTATAAAAAACAGCAATGTTAAACTTGAACTTGAAGGGAGACTGTAGAAAGAGCTGACAAATATCACAACAGCAGAACTTACTCACCAAAGAATGAAGGGCGATACAGCTAAACTGAAATGTACATGTAACTATGCTGACTACGAAGGAGAGGTGAAAAAGGATGAAATGAAGCTAGCAAATTCACACCTAGTAGACCGAGGGGAATACAGATGAAGGGCGAAAGCAAAGCGGCAGTGAAACAAGTGCAAGGGTGTGCAGCAAGAAAATAAAAAATGGCGAAGGTGAATCAAAATTTCCGGATAGAACACAGAAACACCGCTGCCACCAGTGTAAACTAATAAAATAATTAACCTCTTGCCAATCAATCATACACCAATCATACACACCACTGCTAAAACTCACTCAGATCCTCTCTCCTAAAGTCTCCAAAAATAAATTAACCGAGACCTAAATCAACACACCTTACTCAGAGTAAGTCCAGTGCCAGTCTGCCTGTGTTTTATTGAAAAGTATCTAGCATGTGCTTCATGCAAAGTATATACAAATCAAATACATCATCAACCAATAGCAAAATAGGATTCAAGAATAAAATAAGAATATTCATAAGGAAGAGGAGAAGAGAACCAATGATAAGTAAGAAGTGGAAAAATGTAAATGAGAAGAGAACATACCACCTGTTCTAGCTTGAAGAGTTGGTATGTGGTGGAGATGAATGGATGAAATGAATATGCAAATGATGTGAAATGAATGTAGAAGAGACTAGAGAAAAGTAAAGGATAAATAGAAGTAGGGAATGAGTCTAATTTTAACTCTTACAATTTTATATACAGGGAAAGTCCAATTATCTCACTAATGATTGTTAGCATAAGTCATCAAATGCTTCCTATTTCATTGTAATTTTGCATTTAAATTAAATTTGAATATGATAGTTTGTATCTATCAATTATATGTTCATCTCATAAGCATAACATATTTACGTCTTTTACCTTTTCTTACATGTTTTGATAATGAACGAATCACGAACGAAGCCAACTGGGGGATGGGCCCGTTCTATTTGTTCAATAAATCCAATGCTATGAATAATTCATGTGGAGCAGTAATATCTAGATTGCAAAAGGCTCTTGTGGCGGTTGCGCGTTCACCCCGGGTATCTAGACTCATCTCAGCCGCTTAGCCAGAGTCACGAGGCCTTGTCAAAAGGTGCCCAGAGGAGTCGAGCAACTAAGTCCAAATTGTAATTATTCCCTTTGCATATTTTGAGATAATGTTTCCCAACCCGCTGTTTGAATATTTGCTGATGCACCTGCTAAAGCTTCGACATCGGCGTCGGAACTTCCTGGAGTTACTTTGCTGGAATGGCCAGGGCCCAGACTTCAGTTTCTTATCAATGGCAATGCAATAGTAATTAGAGATCTAGCCTCTGTGACCATGTTCATGTACTAGGTCTACTATAATTGGTACACAATGAAAATATGCACTGACTTTAAAACCTTTCAATTGTACAGAACTACAGTTGTACAGACATGACGATGTACCATTCCCCCAACTTCATAAAAAGAATCGGTTTCATTAAATACATAATCCATTTTCTTAAATTCTTTGTACAGATCGATGCACTTTGATGTGGACTTCCCAATATGATTCATGCAAACAACAAGAGGAGGAGGAACGATGATTTCTGCATTCCAAGATGATGTCTGACAATGTATAGACATCATGAGCACCAAAGTCTTGGGCAAGAACAATCTGCCAGTCCTACCACATCAACAGAAAGATGCATCCCTATTAAGCGTCGTTTGCTTAACAAATTTTACTCGTCCAAAAGAACTGCAAGTGCTCAAGCAAACGGTAGAATACCAGTGTCAGATGCAGAGCTGTCTTGTCATGGTGTTGACCATGTTGAGCAAGCAGAGGCACTAGACTTACGCAAACGAAAGAAAGCAACGAGTAGCAGTTTACCTCGTTTCAAGTGGGAGAGTGCGGATAGGCAGGAACAGGCGAGCCAACAGCTGCAGAGTCCGGACACAATCTTGGAACAGTGCCTTAGAGGTGTAGATCCCGTAACTGGAAGGCCAACTGTGCAGAATGTCCTTCGATATCATGATCTCTCGAAACTATCCATTGGGGAAAGAACCGAGTTGGATAAGATGCGTGATGATGAGATTCTAGCAAAGTATTTGAAAACTGCTTGTGAACAACGTGACCGAGCATTGTACCATTCCGAGTCATCTGCCAGAAGGCCATCAAATTCAAAAGGTACGATATCAACTATGTTGTTTGATCAGGAGCCAAACTGGGACGGGCCTGACAACTTGGGTTCAAGGCTTTCAAGAAAATCTTCAAGAGCTGATACCTTTGGCCGTTCGAATGGCTCAACCCCCACAAGGCGACATCAACCATATGAATCGCAAAGTGAAGTCTATTCCGCAATACCGCAAGATCTTGCAAGAATGGGAAGTGATCTTTCCACCATATCAGTCAATGATCTCTGGGAACCTGTTAATGCTTCTCAGGATCTTATTTCTGTGCATCATATTTCATCACTCGCCGCAGATGAATCTGATAACTTGCCACAGATTGGAAACGGTAGTATTAGAACAGATTATGAGATTCCATCAAACTCGAGAAATGTGACGTTGAAACAACCAAAGGGGGAACAACATTTTGTTGCTCATTCTTGCCAGAGGACAACAAGCCATAGCAATGTTTCATCAGGGGGAACGGCAAGTTCAGGAGAAGCGGAACACTTACATGTAGGTGTGGTAGAGAGGTTGCACAATCATATTGAAAACATAGTTGTGAAAAGTGAAGCTGACACATGTAGCTTCGCAGAAAATGGGCAGAACTTGACACGAGCAACTAATGCCAAAAGAGACCCAGAGTCAAAAGCCACTGTCGGTGTTAAGAACGCAGCAGGTGGAAAGTGCCCTATTTGTTCCGATGTAGTTTCTGGATACCATTATGGCACGCATTCTTGTGAGAGCTGCAAAGGTTTCTTCAAGCGAACTATCCAAAACAAGAGAAATGAGCGCTTAGCTTGTGCCTTAGCGGGCAGCTGTGTGATTATTTTGCAGAATCGTAAACACTGTGCCTACTGTCGTTTCAAAAAATGCCTGGATGTTGGCATGAAGCAGGAAGGTAAGTTTTTCCTTTTTTTTTTTCTTCAAAAAGTTTTGATACACATGATGGCTGGAACAAATTTCCTTCAAGGTTTAATAAACACTACCACATTTTCTTGTTCTTCCTTTGGGGAAACAAATTTCAAGGGGAAATCCACCCTGGCGTCATGTTTGCTTTGAAAGGACACAAGGGAAATAGATCAGTTAAAGCTTGAAGAAAATCAAAGGAGACACACATGTACAGTAAATGAAGTTCCAAAGTTGTGATTGCGCAAACGGAGATTGGCATTTATGTGATTTAATATCCTGGCCGGGTGAGCTGCTCTCCTTTTATCATTTTTTTATGCTTCCGTTACGAAGTAGCCGGAGGCATTATGTTTTCGGGTGGTCCGTCCGTCCGTACGTCCGTACATCCCGTTCTCGTGATCGCGTTATCTGAAGAACTGATTGATGGATTCATGCCAAACTTTGGTCATGTATGTATCTTGCAGAGCCGATGAATTGATTAGATTTTGGGGTCACGAGGTCAAAGGTCACAGGGCTCATTATGTATGCAAAAACAGCTTGTGATCGCGTTTTCTGAAGAACCGATTGATGGATTCCTGCCAAACTTTAGTCATGTATGTATCTTTCAGAGCCGATGAACTGATTAGATTTTGGGGTCACGAGGTCAAAGGTCACAGGGCTCATTATGTATGCAAAAACAGCTCGTGATCGCGTTATCTCAAGAACCGATTGATCGATTCCTGCCAAACTTAGATCATGTATGTATCTTGCAGAGCCAATGAACTGAGTAGATTCTTGGTCATGAGGTCAAAGGTCAAAGGTCATGGGCTCATTATGTATGCAAAAATAGGCTGTGAACGCATTCTCATTAGAACTGACAGAAGGATTACTATTTAACTCGGGACATTTTGCAGAGCCAATGAACTGAGTAGATGTTAGGGTCATGAGGTCAAAGATCAAAGGGTCATATATGTATATGAGAAATTGCTTGTAATCACGATATTCTGAGAACCTGTTAATGGATTACAATTGAACTTGAATTTGAAAAATTTCTTCTGTTTTGGTTTGTAAATTGCTCTATGACGGAGGCATCATTTCGACTGCGCGCAGTCGAAGTTCCATCTAGTTTAATGTGAAATTCGTGCTGGTCGGAAGCAGTGTGCAGAAGTCCTCCGTGCTGGTTGGGCCCGGTGCCGACCGCCATGGCTCTAATGCTGCTTGCTATTATATTACCGAACCCCGAACCGAAGCAAGTTCGGGTGAAAAATTGCCGAACCGAACACGAACATAGCGTCTGACTTACAGCACTAGTCAATACATGTACATGTAGTGTCTTATCCCAAAAGTTGTCAATAGTGTCTTTATCCCAAATGTAGTCAATAGTGTCTTTATCCCAAATGTAGTCAATAGTGTCTTTATCCCAAATGTAGTCAATAGTGTCTTTATCCCAAATGAAGTCAATAGTGTCTTTATCCCAAATGTAGTCAATAGTGTCTTTATCCCAAATGCAAATGTACTCGCTACTTCAATTTTCTCACCATTTGCAGTTTTGCACTGCTTTTGGTACATTGTACATGTACATTTTTCATGTGTCTATTGAGTATTGAGTATGATGAAAATCTGCATAATATCATGTATCTATAATAATGACTGTGCTTTAGTTTTTTATCAGTGTTTTCCAGTTCTCACTGCCTATGTCCTTTTATTCTATCTAGCTGTCAGAGGAGACAGGCAAAGGGGAGGAAGGAGTATGTACGAAGGATCCTCTGAGCAGAGGAGACGGCTGCAGCTGCAGACACAGCAGCAGCAAAACGAAGCCCTCGGACAAATCAAGAAACGTAAACCTCGTAAACGGGCCCCCAGTACAGCAACTCAACCTCCGGCGGGGGACAGAGACGATCAAAGTCTTGAAATCATGAGGATGCACCCTCAGCAAACTCTTGGACACCAGGAACGCATGCCGTCCAACCCCGTGACCTCATCTGCTTCAATACCCACAACTTCAACGGACATCTCTATTAATCCGTCAACATCCACTGGAAGTACGACAACTACATGTAGTGACTCCTGTGACGAGTACATTCTTTACCTCAGAAAACTGGAAAGCATTGAGGCAACGTTCTTCAATCCCTTTGGCTTGCCAAGGATCTCCATTGACCGGTGTCACAGTGAGAAGAGTCTCCTAACAGGGTCCTATTATCTGATGGATCATTTTTGCAAGAAGATGCCTTCATGGATTGAGATGCTGCCATACCTTCACGACCTAGAGGTAAGTAGCCTCTGTTCCAGCAATTTTTTGAAACTAGAATCACAAATCAAAACACTGTTAAAAACATGGTTACTGCAGGAGAGCGTTCAAGCGATTTTCAACAACGCTGATTCTCGCTCATTTCAAGCCCAGCCACTGCTCCTCACACTGTGCAGTTTGACCCAGGAAGTATAGGTTAACTTCGCCTCGTGCTCTCTGTCTGTGTTTACGGTCTACTGTCGGTCAAACCAGAACAGGCCACGATAATGAGGTCTTAGAATCATTATTGAGATCTTTTAACCACCGTGATTCTGCAGAATCATGATACAAAACGCATCTTTTTCAGTGTTTCATGTTTGTGTTTTTAAACACGTTTATTTTTACGACCGACAAAAAATCGCTTGAACGCACCCATAGATGCCTACAAGTATAAAGGCTAAGTAAATTTGAATTCTACATGTTCCTGTTGGTATCATTTCATGAAATTGTCTTCACCCATTGACTACCAAAATAAGTAAATCCCATTGCTTTAATACAGGAACCCCTCTGCTCTAGTATGCAATGGGTTTAGGTTGCTGACATTTCATTGAAACAGGTTGTCTGTGTATAGCCTGATGGGCAAAAAACTCAAACATTTACTGTACTTAAAAGTTAGCCAGTTGCCAGGTTTAGAGGGCGCTTTTGCAACGCTCAATGACTCTGCGAAGCCAGTGCCATGACATTTACAATATTTTGGCACACCTGTTTCATTAGAACGTTGGCAAACCTTCTACTTCTGATGGTTCCTTTAAGAAAAATGTGTTGTCGCTTTTCCAGATTTGTTAAGAAAATGGGAAGGAAGTGCCATTTTGTTTGCTGTACATACACTGTACATGTACAGTACATGTAGATGTTCCAACTCACAAAAATACTGCAAGGTGAATTTTGAAATTAATTTCCTTGATAAAATTTCATGTGTTTCAGATGCTCAACAATACTGTACATGTGGTTTTTTATGCTTCATTGTCTATATTTTTATGCCATCCAATACTTTTCCATTAGTGTTAATGCAATATAAACTGTTTATGGTATCATGTGCTGCAAAATGAAATCAAGTCGAAATTTAATTGAATTATTAAACTTTTGGCCTTGTGTTGCTTTTACAATGTCAATACACCCACTCTATTATTCACGGTGATACCTACATGTACATGTAACTTTATTTAAAAAAGAATGGATAAACACAAGTACAGTTATTTGGTTTTTAATGCTTACATGTAATTGACTACATTTTTGTGTCATGCAATACCTTTCTGTTGGTGTTACATGCAATATGGTATCATGTGCTGCAATTAATGAAAACAAGTTGAAATTGAATTGAATTATTAAACCTTTGACCTTGTGCTGCTTTTACGATGTCAATACAGTACACCCACTCTATTATTCACGGTGATACATTCATTTATTTAAAAAAGAGTGAAAAATTACAAGAGGTTTGTGCTCCATTCCAAAATAAGCGTTACCAATTTTAGTGTCAGGATTTGTCATAATATTCTCTCTTTTTTGTGTCAATTCAATAGAATATCACATATTATTATCTACATACATGTATAAGGCTTCCAAGGGGTACAATAATTCAGTGTATTCAATATCTTTAGCGCAGTACCCGGATGACTGATCAATATTGTTTTTGTATTGCTCAGTCATCTGGGAACTTCAACTACATGTATATTTACTGAGGTACACACACATGTACATGTATGTAAGTCAGACTGATATAGATAATGATATTGTATGGCTTTGTTTTCGTGTGATACAAGAACATATTGCTCTCGCTAAACTCGTCTTCGACTCGTCCAATATTGTCATACATGTGTGTACATGTAGCTCGATCAATATATTTTTGTTTCTCACTCAAAGCCATCCAATTATGATATAAATATTACATAGGAGGTGGTAGGGGATGATAAACTAGGAAGCAGGTTTTTTTTTCCAAAATATAATATAACCTACAAGTACATGTACATTGTACAATGTACATGTACAAGATATTTATGCTTAAAGGTTGTATTTAAGTCATTGTTATGATTTGACTGTGGATGATTGGATGATTGATGTCCCAAGTGTACAGTAAACAAACTCTTTGATGACAGTGACTTACATGTATGATGTATTAACTAAAATGATGTTTAAATAGAAAGTAATCTCCACAATAGTTCAACAGTAGTTACACATGGTACATGGCGGCTATTTTGAGCGGCCATTTTTTTTAGCAGCGTATTGTCAATGTCAAGGTACTGAAGGTAGTCCACCTAGAAATTGTGCAGCGAGGTCCCCTTAACACATTGATACCAAAGTTCATACAACCTTTAACATTTCATGTCTCGAGATCCAGCTGCTGTGCCCCCTGGGTATAGATCTAAAACAGTAACAATTTATACAGAACATGTACATGTGTACAGTATGTACATACATGTATGCATGTTTAGGGGTAATGAATTTGGTTCAAATGGAAAAATTGGGAAGCATGCGATTTTAAAATATTTAATGATCATTGTCGCTGTTGAAATTGAGTCTAAAGTGATGAAATTGTAAATAATACACTCTTTATGTTGTATAGCTCCCACTCAAGACTGATTACTTTAGCTTTAAAACAATGTTTTAAAACAATGTTACCGGACTATAACCAACCAATTTTTTCTATTCCCATTTGGAAATTATATATAAACTGCATATTCTGAGATTTTCATGGTCCCAGCTACCATGGAATGGCCTAAGCGTACAAGCCATACATTTGAAATTTACCTGGAGCACCAGTAAAATTGTGATTATTCAATTTCTCGAAAGCAAAAGGGTTTTAAGAGCTAAATTTTCTAGTGCTCATAAAACATCCACAGGGGCCTCCAAATACTGGTATATCAAAATTTTAAAGAATTACTATCCATCCAATTTACAGAATTTCTCAAAACTTTGCATTACCTTTAAAGGCATCGTTTAATAATGTAAATCTGAGATGCATGGCCCTACATGTCTACAGTGACTGTGATATAGCATTGAAGCCCTAAAAGAACTGTGCTTCAAAGTGATCATGTACCGCCTCAAAAAAGTAAAAATCTTTGAGTGACTGGTTTTACTACTCATTTCCCCCAATAAGCCTTTAGTGTTATAAAAACCTTTGGAAACATTTCAATTTTTAATTATAAATATCTTGACAAACACGACAGGTGATCGGCCTAGTGATGGGATTCCGGGCTTAATATTATACTGTACTTACAGTATATATAGCTCATATCACAATACGTCTCTATGTGCTGTGATTATGATTGCAGCATGAGCTACATGTAAATCAAGGATTTTGTTTAGAATCTGAGGCCTAGATACCCAATCCCTTTAATACAATTTAAGTCTCCACTCTCCCCCATTCCTCTATTCTATCTCTGTATTCAAAATGTATACCGGTACAATGTACATCTCTTTCATTTCGTTTTTTCCTAAATCTGAACTTATTATTACTGTTATTTTGTTGTTGCTCTTTCTTTCTCCTACTTTTCCCCATTTCTTGCTGCCCCCCCCCCCCATTGAGGCAGGGGGTCGGGGGGGGGGGGGGGGGAGTAAGGGGGTTGACTGCCCCCATCTCCCCAAATAATCTTCTGGTTGTCCTTCTGAATGTTCTCTAGGCCTGGATGCCACATTGACTTCCCAAGGTCATGTCTACCGGTAGTGCATGTAAAGGAGGCTGGGGGGGGGGGGGGGGGGGGTAATTGCTGGTCTTCTGGTTGTCCTTCTGAATGTTCTCTATGCCTATACAGGCCTGGAAGCCTCATTTTAACCTCCCAAGGTCATGTCTAGTGCATGTGAAGGAGGCTAAGGGTGGGGGGGGGGGTGTGGGGGTAATTGCTGGTTTTCTGGTTGTCCTTCTGAATGTTCTCTATGTCTGTAGAGACCTAACCATGTCTGTAGAGACCTAACCAGAGTACCGTAATTAACAGTGTATTAACCGCACCTTTTTGCCGCCGAAAAAAATTCAAAGTCGGGGGTGCGACTTATACACGGTACACCAAAAAAAAATTTAATTTTTTTTAAAGTTTCGATTTATGCCCCTCCACCTGGCGCTATGCCTGGAAATGTCTCCTAGCTCCGTAATCGGTGTGTTGACTTACCACTCTGAAACTAGAACAACATTCAAATTTGTCTGTCATCTTGGTTTGAAAGTAATCTTTCTGATAGATCTCAATATGTAGTTTATAATAATAATTCCTCCAATTTTTCTTCTATTACATGGTGTACCACAAGGTTCTATCCTAGGTCCCCTACTGTTTTTAAATTTACATCAATGATCTTACACACACAAAAAAAAAATCTCGGCACAAAAAAAAAAAATAAAAAAATTTAAGGGTGAAAAAGAGGGGTGCGGTTATTACACGAGGGCGGTTTATACAACGTTAATTACAGTAATGTCTAGTGCATGAGAGGGAGGATTGAGGGGGGGGGGAATTGCTTCTCTTTACTTCAAACTTATACATGCATACATGATGGTATTGTGTCACACACACAGTATATTGTAGGGTTTCAATTATCTGGACTGTAGTAGGGTACGGTAATAGTGTACAATGTACAGGCGCCATGAGCATCGCCAGGTGATGTATTGTACACAACTATCAAGGATGTTTTAAAAACGTGTTGGAAAAGGAGAGAGAGAGAATGAAAGAGAGAGGAAGAGAGACAAAGAGAGATGCTTGAGCATCACAGAGTGACGTACATGTACATAAGCGTCCATTATACTGTAGTGTAGATTTCTAAAGGCCTAGAATAGATCTGTTAGAGTGGGGGTGAGGGGAGGGGAAAAATATATTTTACATGATTTTTGATACAATGTAATTATTTGCTAATTGTGAGTCCCTTTCATGATTTATCATTGAAACATTTAATATTTTCACTGCTATCTTGTATCATTCAGATCGACTTGTATTGCATATAGTATACTGGACAAATCCCATTGTTTGCAGGCACAAACCCAAGGATGTCAGTTCTAATCCACACAGGGTTTGAAAATGTTAAAGGAGACACCAGTCCAATTACATGTACCTTGAACTTTAGCTCTAACTATACAATCAGACATCTTCATGTAGGAATACTTTAACCCTTACTGTACCGGGCTATTTTAAGCATCTCCATTACTACAGTGTAAGGGGGCGGGTGCCTCCAGTGTAGGGAGGCCCTATGACTTCGGCCTTGAATGTCAGATGAACACAAAAATGTGCATGTTTGTAGATATTCACGTACACTGTAAGAAACAAGATGCCCCCCCCCCCACCCCTCAGCACAGTAAGAGTTAGAATGTACCAAATTCTCGTATATATTTTGTGTACAGCTAGAATAAAATCTACCTAAAAAACTTAACCTGGCGTAGTGGCATTCTATGATTTTTAATGGATAAGAACTATGAATAAGATCAAGAATAACATGATGTACAAAATAAACCCAAGTTGGAATTGGGTTCCTTGCGGGCCCTATTCTACCGCAAACACATACAGTGACTCGTTTCATTTTTACCCCCTCTATGTTCTAGGTTGGTGATCGCTCAGTCTTGCTGAAAGCAAACTGGCTCCAAGTTCTCATCTTGACCGTTTGCTTCCGTTGCCATGACAATGAAGGTCATCTCATCCTGCCGGACCGGTCACACTGTGACATGATGGCGGTGGTCAATTCTGTTGCCATTTTGGACATTGTGAGGAGGATGAAGCAGCTGGCCCAGAAGCTCCAAGCCTTGAAGACAACGCAAGATGAATATTTCTACCTCAAACTTCTCATTCTGCTGAACTCAGGTCAGTGCTTTTAAAAGCCTGTTTGTACTAGTTGGGCCAGGGGGGATTAGACTTCCCTGCAAGATCACTGCACTATGAACATGACGGACAAAGAAAGAGGACAAAATATCACTATGAACATGACTGACAAAGAAAGCAGACAAAATATACAGTTCCTCAGGTAGACAAAGGAACACCCCTTCACTGCTAGTATGTAAAAATGTGTAGAACAGGTGTCACATGCACATTCACCATTTTACATAATAGCAGTGAAGGGATGTTCCTTTGTCTACCTGAGGAACTGTATATTTTGTCTGCTTTCTTTGTCTGTCATATTCATAGTGTATACAGTTCCTCAGGTAGACAAAGGAACATCCCTTCACTGCTATTATGTAAAAATGTGTAGAACAGGTGAATATGCATGTGACACCTGTTCTACACATTTGTAGATAATAGCAGTGAAGGGATGTTTCTTTGTCTACCTGAGGAACTGTATATTTTGTCCTCTCTCTTTGTCCGCCATGTTCATAGTGCTGACAGGTGGTTATCTCATCAAATCAGCTCTCAATTAACATAAGAAAAAGAGGATCATTGGGGACCAACAGGCACCGATTAGGCATTGTTTGCTATATGGGCGCAAGTAACTATACATTGTAAGTTGTGCAGTGGGGCTTTTACACTGATTTTTAAGCCCAGTGAAGTTGTTCTCAATTGACATTAAAGGGCAATGCCAATCCTGCCCTTGTAATAACTTCATTGGTATGGTATGTGATATGTGGGAAATCAGAATAGCGAAAGTTTGCAATAAATCAGACAAATAATTCAGAGGGAGTAACATGTAGGAGGAATCTTTAAAAAGTATTAAAAGCGGTCCAGATTTTGTAAGTTTTCGTGTACACATACGATCAATATAGCATAGCGTAGGTAGAGTCATGACGATGCATAGTATGCTAAAATGTGTGTATAGAGGTCACTTCGATCATTTAACAAAGGGGCTGGAGAAACGAATTGGGTAATGTATTGTAAGAAACCAAATTATAAACTCAAATTTTACAGACTGCCCAATAGAATTTTTTGAAAATTCAAAAAGCATATTGATATTTAATAAGAAAATACATTTCAAGATTATAGTACGAAAACCTTAATTTTTTTTATCACTCAGCTCTATAAAGAGTGAGAGAAGGGAGAGAGAGAGAGAGAGAGAGAGAGAGATGGGACAAGAGGCAAGTTTTGATTATTTGTCTTGCATCTACCTTTATTTGGTCACATTACAGTAATAAAAAGCTAAAATACATTCATGTACAACTACATGTAGAATAAAGATATGAAGATTAATTATTAACAAACATGATATTGATATGTTATGTTGGTCATTATTTTGTTTTTAAATGTCCTCTTTTAAATCTATTTGCTTTACCACTAAAAAGGATCACTTAAATTCACAGTGATATAGTTCTTTAAAGATATCTATGAATCAGCGAATAAAATACATCAGAGCAGAGAACTACTTAGCTCTCAAAAGCTCCAAAAAGCGCTGGTGAATTGAAAAAAGAGCTTTGTTTAAAAATACAACAAAAATTAATAAATGATTCAAATTAAATATCATCATGAGAAGAAAATTGGACTTATTTTTTGTTTTAAAGCTCCTATGAACAGACTTGTGTTGTTGTTAATTTATACTATACAAGTACAGCGAGACATGACTCAAATCCTTTAAGTAGCAACAGATTCTGCTTTTATGATTTTATTATTTGATGTCCCGAAAGTGTGGAGCAATTTTGTAACTACAAAGAAAAGTGCTACCGGTATATCAAATATATTTTTGCATCAAATTTGGATTGGATGAATTAAGCACTTATTACTATTTATTTCACAGATATCGGTAGATTTTAGATACCGGTAAACGTTTAGCTATCTCAATTTAGCATAGAAAAAAAACCTTGGGTTTTGCTGGAGTATACAATGAACAAGAAGTCATGATCAAGAAATCGTGATTAAAAAAAAATTGTGATCCACATGATCACGAAATCATGATTGAGAAATTATGATCAAGAAATCATGATCAAGTAATCATGAATAAGAAATCATGAATAAGAAATCATGATCAAGAAATCATGAATAAGAAATGATGATCAAGAAATCATCATCATAATAGGCTGTATTGTACATGTATTCTACACTTGTAAAGCTTTGGCCTCGCATCTAAATGAGGCCAAACTGGTGTTCTTTGTCCTAGGGAATGCAATTTTAATGAGAAAATCATGGAAAGAAAACTAAGAAAGCATCATCATAATAGGCCGTATTTAATAGAATAACCCATCTTTTATTTCACATGTACCTTATTCTACACTTGTAATGCTTTTCTTGCATCTTAATGAGGCCAACGTATGGTGTTCTTTGTCCTTGTGAATTCAATTTTAATGAGAAAATCATGAAAAGAAAACAAAGGATGATTGCTGTTATCATGATAATGATGGGAACAGCTTTTGTTCCTACTTTTTTTCACACAAGTCCATCATAGACCCCCCGCAGAGATTCATGTTTGTGTTTAGGTCCCCCCCCCCTCCCCCCCCCCTCCCCCCTGCGTACAGCCTGTAAACCAACCACTAGAATTATAGCTCCTGATACTACTGAAATCATACAACCTATCCAAATAGCTAGTCTACAAGCACAGACTTCAATTTGACACTTTATCACAATTTCTTAAAGGGCAATCCAACCCTTGTAATAAGTTGATTTGAATGAAAGCAGAAAAATACCCGTAACACAATGGCTAAAGTTTGAAATGAATTGCACCAATAGTAAGGAAGTTATGAATGTTAAAACATGAGATCACTATTGGTAGTAAAGTGGATTGTGTTGTGACGTAGGACGTGGATAACTCTCCCATTTGCTGTGTACAAAATTATCACTAATTTCTTTTTTTTTGGTACTGAATGGTCGTACATTTTATGCTGCGCAAAGATTCAATCAGATTAATTTTGGCCATTACAAGAAGTGGGTTATTGACCGTAGACAAATGCTCATGTACCCTTTACAGCTCATTTTATGTATGTTATCACCAAAGAAGAAAAAGAAGCCAGTCAGTCACTCAATAGTGTCTGACAGTGAAGTCTACCCGTTTACTTGCATAATTTGAATATTAGGACACTGCTAACATTTAAATTTCACAGATTGGACAAACATGACATATTCATAATTCCTGCATAGTTCTACCATAAACGTACGGTTCTACAGAATTTGATGTTGGTTGCAAAAGGGACATAGTAAAGCCTGATGTAGTATCATAGTGCAGACACTGTTATGCACAACAACAGTCAAGGGTCTGTGTGTACAAAATACCAAACAACCTTGAGAATAGAATAGATTTGCTTCTGATGGTGCTGAAATCACTGGACAATTAATAGCAGAAGGCCAAATTGTTTGTTTTGAAAATTTGGAAAGAGTTTGTAGAAAAGAAATTAGGAGTGCAGATGTTAGACTGGCATTATTTTAACATCTGTGAAGTACAATAATTGTTTTATGTAATATCGCATTTAGTTTGCCTAGTAACACAACTGCACCAGGAGTGTCATTTTTGACAGACATGGCGCATTATAAATGTTCACTATTATTATAGTCCTCATGTAGCACAAATTAAAAACTATCCGTTACATGTGATTACACATTTATGATATCAAAGAACATCACATTTCCAATATTACGCATGATAAGATGATGATGCAAAAAAAGGATGAAGAAGAGAAGGTTTAATAAAACCTTAACCCTAATGAGGCCGGGGTATTTAAGATCTTTCAAGTACTGGGGGGGGGGGGGCATAATGCTCTCGGCCATGAAAAGGCTTGTCGCGGCAAAAATGTGCACGCATGTCAAGTGAAGCTGTGTATCAAATACTATGGTAAATTCAATTTTTTGAAAAATTCACTCATTTGCATATTTATGATAACTAATGCAATTAAGGTCATAAAATACACATTTTTACGCCAAAATCATATATTCTTCATATTCAAGCATTCTTTTTTACAACATATATTTGTTAGACCATTTGGAACAATAATACAACAAAATTTGTCTTGATAATTTCTTATGTATTTCTTTGTTTTTTTTAACTTACGTATTTTATTGTTTTTTTGTTTTTTTTTCATTTTTAACTACAATTCAACTATTTTGACCCCCAAAACAACCACCTAATCTTTGAAAAAGACCAAATAACTATTGTTTTATTTCTTTCCAATTTTCAAAAAAATTGTTTTAAAAGATACACATGTAAGCAAGACTCGAAAGAAAAAAGTCAGCAAGCAGCAGGGCCTCATCCGTATGCGTTCCCGAACAATCAGAAAAATCGGGGGGGGGGGGGCATAATGCCTTATTAGGGTAAAATGGGGTGTAGCATGACGAGACTGTGTTTTCCAGTGGCCTGACTCAGGTATTCACGTGCGTGCAACATACGCGACTCCGAAAAGTGAGGAGAACTTTGGTCTGTTTCGCGAACGCTAGCGTGCGCTGACCGTTACTCAAGTCCATTTGTTTACCACCAGTTGTCCAAAAGAAGTAGTTGATTGCGTTAACCAGTATTTGCCATGCTACACCCCCTTCAAAAGGCCCACTGCACTACAGGGTGTACTGACACATCTTTAATGTTTATGGATCCTTGGAACATGAGTATGTTTCATTCGGCGCGTCTTCATCATCTCGAGATTGCCAAATAGCCCGCTATTTGGGAAATAATCCCGAAGTAACAGATCGCGTCTTCACTATCTCGAGATTCAACCTCGAAACTTGAAACTCGACCTTGAGAAATTAGCTCGAGATATTTTGCTCAGCGTTAGCGCATGTTGCGAATCTTCGGTCTAATGAAGACGCACAGGACAAATAGCTGGATATTTTGCCAAATAGTGGGATATTTTGCAAACTATCCCAAGATATCTTGGGATGACAATCCCGACCAAATATCCTTCTAATTGCTACTTCGGTCTGATGAAGACGCAAATTAGCTGGATAGTTTGCGATCGGGATAGTTCAAATAGCTGGATATTTGGCAATCTCGAGATAGTGAAGACAGGCCTATTGCATCTTCCCCATGTAAAAAACACTCTCTTCTTCAAATCGTCTGTGCTTTATGCATTTTCAATGTGTACATGTCCATATGCATCTAAACTAATCTGGAGCAACTCTTGTGTTTTTTAGGGGTAGGCTTTCATATAAAGAGTCCTTCCTTTCTGCCTATTCCAAATGCTCTCATAAATTGCCATTGTTATTTGTTATCACTATCTTGTTTTTTATCATTCCATTCTGTATTTGTATGTTTTAAATGTTTTTAATTATGGAGAGTGTTGAATAAACTTTGAATTGAATTGAATTGTTTTTTCTTTGCATCCTCCAGATGTGAAAAACCTCTCTCAGCCTTCCAGGATACGCAGCTACCAGGAGAAAGTGCAGGAGCATCTCTTTGACCTGGGCATGGCGAGGGAAGGCATCTCTGCAAGCATGAAGATAGGGCGGCTCCTCCTCAAGCTCTCGGAGCTGGAGCGTCTCTCTCATCTCATCAAGGAGCACTTGGTCTTTACTCAGGTCGCAGGTCAGCTCGGTCACAGGAAGTATTCAAACCTGGAGGATATGCTGGAGGATTACTAAGGTATACCTCTCGCAAAAATAATGATAATAGCTAGTTCTTATGTAGCGCTTTTCAGGACCAAAGGACCTCTCAAAGCGCTTTACAGATATATATATATATATATTATTACCCCCGTCATCGGATTCAGGCTTACCCGCACACAGCGCATGTACATTCTCCGCTCCCTGGGGAGCGTTCCAGCCGGGCATCATTTTACAAGTGCACACTTGCTAATCCAATTACATTAGCTTTCGCATCCTACCGGGTACCCATTTAACACCTGGGTAGAGAGTGGCAAATGTAGATCAATGTCTTGCCAAAGGACATGAGTGCCGCGGTGGGACTTGAACCGCCGATCTTGTGATCCACAGTCCGGTGACACAACCACTCGTCCAGGACACCTTGTCAATCATGAGTTGAGACTTGGCCCCGTTTCATAAAACTTGTCTGACGTTACGGGACGTCCGGGTCCGGGAACTGCTCCAAGTTATATAAGAACTCTGGCATCACCCATTAAAGTATGAAGATACATATATTTCATATTTTTTATTATCAAAAAAGATTCAATCTTTATATAAGGATTATGTTTCCTTTCAGGTTGCAACCTATTCAGTTTATTTTATGTCCTTGTCAGATATGTTCACAGTGTGTATTTTATGTTATATATAGCTGATTGTTATATGAAATGTCGTTTTAACTGAATGAAATAAAATTGAATTGAATTGAATATGCCCAAGTTAGATTTATTTAAACAGCATTCCTAAAAAGAAAAGAAAATATACTAAAATGTATTTTAATTAGTTATTTAAATCTCCCTATAATTTGACTTTTTGGAGAGTTATGCACACGTTATACTCCTGTCGCAAGAAGGAGACCAATCCCAGACAAAAGAACACAGATTACCTTTCCCCAATGGCCAACAAACGTTGTGGAGCGTTAACATTGTATTGTGCAAGTGTGGAAGAAAATCAGAGAAAATATGTTATCTGAAAAGCATGGCTCTTCAAATGCTTTAATATTCTAAATATGGCATGTAACATCATACAAATTGGGACAGATTTTTTTATGCCATATGTTCGTGTAGTACCATATACATCTTTCTGTGTACAGTGCTTGTAACTTTATCAAGACTAGGCCAAATTTCTTATCATTTTGATGATTCCAGAACCTTGCAGTACACACAAATACTTATATGCTAGATGATCAACCTTTTATGATCGTTCCACAACGTTTCTTTCACAATGCAATCGGATGACCATAACTCACCTCTATCTTTAATGCTGTAGCCATTCAAATTCAATTCATGTAGGTGAGGGATTAATACTACCGTATATGTTGCTGAGGTACTTTATATCTTGTACATGTAGCAACATGTCACATGTTGCATTGTATCATTCCCATGGCATAGGCTATTATACAGAAGCCATTCAAATTCAATCCCGGTAGGTGAGGAGTTAATAATATGTCAAGGCTGGAAACGTGTTTGTCAAATATCCTTGTCTGTTTCATGTCTGGAATCATATTCATTGTTCGTATTCTCTTATTGATCAGGTGGAACATGTTTAGAATTAAACGTAGGGAGAAAAAAGTGTTATTTTTAGAATAAAAGCAATCGATTTGATCACGATATGATCACGAATGGAAATATTTCTGTAAACAGGTGTTCTCCAATATGTTTGTCCACCAAATGGAAGTGAGCAAAGGAAACAATTTCAATTCCTTTAATAAATGAAGACTCTTTAAAGTAAAAAATCATAAATGTCAGTTTGGGTACCGTACTTGCAAATGTTCAAACATTCACAAACATGTAAAGACCAATCATCTCAATTCTAAAAGTAAATAATGTATCATTGATACAAAAGGAAACCCATACACAAGCCTCGATATCTAAAAAAAATGAAGTAATATTGCTGAAATATGAGATGATAGTTTGATAGTTGAAAAAGTCTTCGCATCAAAATGACACTGTATATAAGCAGTGTGGAATGTAATGTGTGCACTGTGTTGAAAATTGGAAAAGTGATCAATCGTTATAAATTTAATATCCAGTTTTGTTTGTACTTGTATTGTCTAGTATAAGAGTTGTTTGTTCTTTGACCTTAACTATGATGTAGTGTGAATATACAAATTATATGTGAAGGACAACTTTAGTTTTGTTTGTGATGTTGATGTAAAAGTATATTTTGAAATATATTCTGAAATTCTACCAATTTATACTGTATGTGCAATGATTGAACTTGTAATATATACTGATAAATACAAATTATCATACTATTGTACTTAATATGCAAACCAGTACATAGAAAGAGAAATAATAGAAAAACACATGGTCAAATGTATTGAAAAGATCTGGGGGTGTTTCACAAAGATCCTAAGTTGAACTTATCTCTAAGTTGGACTTAACAACTATGGAAAGCCGTTAGCATCCTTGAAAATATTTTGTAAAAGTTATTTTAAAAGGCATAACATGTTGATTCAAATCATCCATATTTTCTATTATCATGGGAGATTTCACGTTCTTGATGCGGAATTTATGAAAAGTCTAAAATACTTGAATTTTTGCTTTTGAATATATTTTATTATAAGGCTACAAATGGCTCTCCATAATTTTTAAGTCCAACTTAGAGTTACTGTACATGTAAGTTCGACTAAGGATCTTTGTGACCTCCCCCCCCCCCCCCCCCCCCCGATCTCATTTTGAATGACGATTACTAGAAGGCAAGGTAAAAGAATTTGCTGTTTTTATAGGCCAGAAGGTCTTAAAGAAACTTCACATGAAGTGAAATTCAAAGTACTATTTTTCTCTTTCAAAATTGTGTGTCGTAGATTTTCCATGGAGTTATGGTAATTAATTATTACATAGGTACACTGTTTAGAGTTATAGTAAAAATATCATACCGTATCTCTTAAGCCCACCGCACACTGTATGATCCGACTACGATCGGATCTTGGAAGATTTTGCAATAGCATTAGATATGAATATTTAATGACAAACCAAATTATCAGGGTTCTAAATAGTCATATGAGCATGAAAACTAAATATTTTGGCCATTGCAAGCCTCCTTGTGGCAGGAAAACTAAATATTTTGGCCATTGCAAGCCTCCTTGTTGCAGGAAAGCTAAATTAGCAATTAGAATCGGCTTATTAGTGCAATTGTCTATGATCCAGCTTTTATATTGACTCGAGAGTTCTGCATGAAAATTCAGGTTGTTAGTATTTTACAATATGTCTTTATTGACAACCTAAATCAGAAAGATGATGCTTTTCTTCAAAAATCTGATGGCAGTAGAATTGTATAGTGTGTAGTGGGCTTTAGTGTATGTGGTTGGATCTCAATAGGCCTGTCTTCACTATCTCAAGATTGCCAAATACCCAGCTATTTGAACTATCCCGATCATAAACTATCCAGCTAATTTGCGTCTTCATCAGACCGAAGTAGCAATTAGCGGGATATTTGGTCAGGATTGTCATCCCAAGATATCTTGGGATAGCTTGCAAAATATCCCACTATTTGGCAAAATATCCAGCTATTTGTCCGGTGCGTCTTCACCAGACCGAAGACTCGCACTATGGGCTAATGCTGAGAAAAATATCTCAAGCTAATTTCTCAAGCTAATTTCTCAAGGTCGAGTTTCAAGTTTCGAGGTCGAATCTCGAGCTGATGAGGACGCGATTTGTAACTTCAGGATTATTTCCCAACTCAGAAACAGCGGGCTATTTGGCAATCTCGAGATGATGAAGATGCGCCTAATGTTTGTTTCAATAGAGTATAGGATTAGGAATAGTAATAGCGATACACTGTAGCTAGATATGTTAAAGTACAATGAACCCAATTCCATGATTATAATGTACATTACGCAGGGTTTAAAAGTTATACACTGGAAGTGTCTTACATATAAAAGATATGGACATATGTACATTATACCTATTGTTAGCTGAAATACCAAGGACGATATAGCTGGTATCTCTTTGGAAATACTGATGAGAACAGTGTACTGGTATAGAGTTAGTAACATGCATATTGTACATCGACAATCGACATGATTTTAATGTTTCTGGAAATTCTTAACCTGATGAATTTAATTGTATGTATCATACTGATGCCTAAAAGTTTGTATTGCAGTATCACTGTAGACACCATGAGATGGGTATACAAGTGTTATGCAGGCACGTAAAAAGACTGTTATTATTATATGGAAAATGTATAACTTTGTGAAAAATTGTATTTGAATTTTGAATTATATGCAGCATAACCTCTGGAGGTTACCTCAAGTCATGTTAGGGCGTGTTTATGCTTAACTTTTTCTGGCCAGAATCAGGCATCTGTTACGCGTTTAGTTTAAAACACGGTTGCGTCCATGCTCACTTTTGTAGAATCACCGAAAAACTGCGATCACAATCGCCGATCGTAAACTCACAAAAAGATGCGTTTACAATTTGTAAACGCGTTTAAATGGGGTCAACGCACTGACCTCTAGTGGGTCTATGTAGCATGCACAGTGAAGGTTTGCAAATCCAGCTGGAAGACCAATTAAGGCCACACAGGGAGAATTGCCTGGAGGAGCCGGAGAAGTGAGCATAAACAGTACACCGTGGAACTGCGATTACGATGAGCGTTTACGATGAGCGTTACAAATCGCTCATTCTGCCTTCAAAATTTAAGCTTAAACGCACCCATAGACAGTCTAGCACGACTTTAACCTCGCGTTTGTGCTGTTATGAGCAGCATTGGTTTGTCCTTTGTGGTGAGAGTGTTTATATTTACAGTGAACAAGGGGTGCCATGGCACGACCTCCAGATGTTACCTTGCATTTTTGGCAGATATGAACAGGGTATTAGACAATACACCGGAGTGTGAAATTGTGAACCTATCTAGGCGTACATGTACTGTGTCTCAATATTGCATGAATATGGAGTTAAGATAGAGATCGAGTCACAAATGCTCTTAAAATGAATTCTATGGTATACTTATAGGGTACGTTTATGCTCAACTTTTTCTGGCCAGAACGAGGCATTTGTTACGCATTTAGTTCAAAACACGGTTGCGTCCTT